CAGTTGGGGAAGCTGAGGCCCAGAGAGGCAAAGGTACATGCCCAGGGCCAATGTCCAGATTCCAGGTTCAGGGCTTTCTCCCATCTTCCCCACCTCAGCCATACTTGGGCATTTAGGTAGCCCCTACCCCTCTTACGACCCAGCACTGCAGGGGACTTCATCTGCTCATTTGTCCCTTCAGTCAACATTCATGAAGGGATGTCAGCTTGACTCGAGAGGCCCACGATGCAGCAGTCTGAGCTGCTGCCCTGCTCAGGCAGGCAGGGAGACTGGCCTGCACAGGACAGCATGCGGCAGGCATGGGGGCCCTGGGGTTCCTTACTAGACAGCGATTTGCTGGGGAGAGGACATGCTCCTCAGAGAGACGATGGGTTTGACTCTGGCAGAGGGGAGGCTACTGGCTGAGAATGGCACATCTGTTGCTGGTGGCTTGTGAGGGAGGATGCAGGAAGACACAAACAGGACACAGGGTGGCCTCGTGGCCAATTGGAAGACTGTGCTGTGACAGATTTGTTAAGTGGGGTTGTGACCTGGTGGATTGTGTTTTAGAAAGTCCTGGCCGGGCACGGTGGCTCACGTCTGTAATCCCAGCACGTTGGGAGGCCAAGGAGGATGGATCACCTGAGGTCAGGAGTTCGAGACCAGGCTGGCCAATGTGGTGAAACCCTGTCTCTACTAAAAATATAAAAATTAGCAGGGTGTGGTGGTGGGCACCTGTAATCCCAGCTACTTGGGAGGCTGAGGCAAGAGAATTGCTTGAACCCAGGAGACAGAGGTTGCAGTGAGCTGACATGGTGCCACTGTACATCAGCCTGGGCAACAGAGTAGGACTCCATCTCAAAAAAAGAAACAAAAAAAGGAAATCCCCCTGACTGCCACTGGGAGGGATGGAAAGAGGACCAGAAGCTCGTTGGGATTTCCTGAGGACCAGGTACTTTCATTCACTAGAGGATGTGTTGCTGCCCTCTCTCTGAGGGAGGGTCTGGCAGTCCTCACCCACCCAGCCACCTCACTGTCCCCAAGGCCTCCACCTTCACCCCTGGCTTCCACAAAGGGACCAGCCCATGAGGTTCTCTGGTGAGAGTCCAGTGACGGGTGTCTGGGAAGAATGTTTTTCTTGTTAAATCAGTTATGGGTGTCACTTGGTTGCTTTGTAATGTTGGAAACTCTTTTTTTTTTTTTTTTGAGACAGAGTCTCACTCCATCACCCGGATGGAGTGCAGGCTCACTGCAGCTTCAGCCTCCTAGGCTTAAGTGATCCTCCCACCTCAGCCTCCCAAGTAGCTGGGACCATAAGCCTGTGACGTCATGTGCAGCTAATTAATTAAAAAAAAAATATTTGTAGAGAGGATGTCTCACTATGTTTGAGACCCATTCTGGTCTCAAACTCCTGGGCTCAGGTGATCCTCTCACCTCACCCTCCCAAAGTGCTGGAATTACAGGCGTGAGCCACTGTGCCTGGCCCCAAATGTTTAAACGTTGTTAAAGGAACAGGCTCTCCTTTTGATTGGCAGTTAGAAGGCCTGGAGCAGAACTCCTCCCTGGGGTCCATGGACCAACAGGAGCCTCCAGCTAGAATTTGGGTGCCTATGAACCTGGATAGGAAGCTAGGTACGTCCTCATTGCTGTGCACCTCTGACTAATAGTATTTCCTTCAATTACGTGTGAAGCAAAGCCAAAGTGAAGCCCTCTCTGGTATTCACAGTGCCTGCAGCTTTGCCACGTGTATTTTTGAGTTGCATTCACAGTCATTGCAGATATCTTGAAATGTCATTTATGCTCAGCACTATTTCAAAATTACAGTAGCTATTAGGCCTACTGTTAAATCTTGCGATTTAATGTGTTAAAAGAGAGGCAAGTTTGTATCTCATGAAATTTGATTTTTAGTATTTGGTAACTAGGTTTTAACATGATTCATTTCCTTTGTAATTCTTTGCGTTTTACTCTTGGCATTTAAAGCCCTTACTCTGAGGGGCAGCTCATGGAAAAGTCCCTGGGCTCGCAGCTCATCCACCTGCAGTCACACGTGTGTTCATCGCGCAGCTTCCTCGCAGCTCATCCACCTGCAGTCACACGTGTGTTCATCGCGCAGCTTCCTCGCAGCTCATCCACCTGCAGTCACACGTGTGTTCATCGCGCAGCTTCCTCATCCTCTGAGAGCTTCTTTAGAGTAGGGTAGCATCTGCTGAATGCTTGTGTGATGCTGTGGTCACAGCATCGGGCCTGTCTCTTAGCATGTGCTTAAGTCCTATGTTTCATTGAACTGACTCAAAATAGGCAAAATTGGCCAAGAGGAGGCTCAGGTTTCCTGAACTTGACCTGCAGCCTCGCCCAGCCCAGTTTGGTGGGTCTGAAGCAACCCACCTGCTCCACCCCACTGGGCCCCTGGGTTTCATCCGCTGTACCCTCCTGACACCAACCACTGAGCCTCACAGGCCATGGGCATTGCCAAAGAGAAGGGTGCTCTAAAGCCTCGCTGCCTCTTGGTGATCAGAGCTTAGATTCTCCACCGTCCTGTCATCTGAGACTTGGGGGAACTCATCTCTGCCCCTCCCATTCCTTGCTTAATAACAATAAAAGCTGAGTTTTTGGAAGCCAGTCAAGTCACACACTAGCCGAGAAATTGGAGCCACGACAAATCAATTTAAACACTTGCTCATCTGATGTGCTTTTCAAGCGAAGCATTCAAAGGCAGGGAGTGGCTACAGGGAACATATTAAGTTGTTAGAAAAAGATCAAAACAGCTCTGAAAGAAAAACAACTCATTGGGGGAATCACAGGACGGGTTTCCAGAGCACAGCCTGTTGGCCACCCGCCTGCCCCTGGCCAGTCTGCCTCCGTTGACCCAGCAGGCGCCTGATGGCCCCTTCCATTTTCTCCTTCTCTCTGGTGGGTTCTCCCTTGAAGCTTCCTCCGGCCCTGGGCAGGGACTGGGGAGAGCGCCCAGGCTCCCAGTAGCTGCTCGTTGAGCTGATAGTAATTCCTTCAATTACACATGAGGCAAAGCCGAAGCGTAGCAAGCAGATGGCCTCACCAACTCACAACTGAAGGAGATTTTTATTTTTAATCAGGATGATTTTTACTGTGATGTAATAAAATTGTAATGTGATGTAAATTCTAAGTGCCTAAGAAAAAACAAGGGAAAAGCCTTCCAACGGCAGTCCTACCCACCACTGACAATCATCCTCAACCACGTGGCTTTCAAGGTCACTGAGCCTCTCGCCCCATGCCAGGGAGAGAGAGAGAGAGGCCTGGGGGTCCTATGGGATGTGCTTAAAAGCCAGGCCTGGGAGGAGCTAAGGCCACTGCACACGGCGCTGGCTTGATCACACAGACCCTTCAATGGCAAGACTTCCCAGCCTTTTTCTGGAACTTCTGGGCTCCGGGGGTCCTCCTGCCTCAGCCTCCCAAAGTTTTGGAATTATAGGCATGAGCCACCATGCCCAGCCCCAGCCTTTTTCTATGAGTGTAGTTTTTGTTAATGTTTCATTTGCTTTACTAATTGAGAGTTGTGACTACTTAATACATAATTTTGGCTCATTTTTTGGTATTGCCATTATATCCTAAAAATTCCCCATCACAAATTCATTTTAAGCCTCCTTTTATTGGCTGCATAATATTCTAAAGTGAAAGTGTACCTTAACTTACTTAAGTAATCCCCTATAATTGGGCATGTAGGTTGTTTCTGGTTTCGTTTTTGCAGTTTTAAATAATGCTGTGTTGAGTTTTTCATGTGTGAAACCTTATACCCATTCCGGGCTCATTCAACAAACAACATGGGCTTACTCTGCACAAGGCATTGTGGGAGATTGGAGGATAAACCAGACGCAATCCCTTTAAATAAAATGCAGACACTAATAACTTTCATTCAAAGCGGTTACACAGTTGCTATATGCAGACAACTAAAACCGGAATGCCTGGGCTTGATGGGGTTTTATTTATTTTTTTTGAGATGGAGTTTCGCTCTTGTTACCCAGGCTGGAGTGCAATGGCGCAATCTCGGCTCACCGCAACCTCCACCTCCTGGGTTCAGGCAATTCTCCTGCCTCAGCCTCCTGAGTAGCTGGGATTACAGGCGTGTGCCACCTTGCCCAGCTAATTTTTTGTATTTTTAGTAGAGACGGGTTCACCATGTTGACCAGGATGGTCTTGATCTCTTGATCTCGTGATCCACCTGCCTCGGCCTCCCAAAGTGCTGGGATTACAGCTGTGAGCCACCGCGCCCGGCCTGTTGGGGTTTTAAGAAAGTCACGGGAAAAAATCCAAGACGTTGCAGCGTAGTCCAGGGGAAGTCAAGTGCACAGTTTGGTAAAGGGGTTCTCTGGCAAGTGGCCTGTGCCAGCAGGCAGGTGTTACCTAGGGTCGGCTGGAAGCGGACTGCATCTCAAGTGTTAAATTCATTGTCAGTGGTTGCCAGGAGTGCTGCGTGAGGTCAGAGGTGGGCTGCTCAGTGGGAAACTTTAGCGGCACTCACTATGATCTCAGGTCAGTGGAGCAGTGGTGACTGCATGCACCTAACACAGCCATCCCCAGCCTGAGAGGTTCATCTCAGGGAGAGCTCAGGGTTTGCGTCGGCTTGGCCCATGCCCAGGGCTGTGTTTCCTCTGCGATCCATTCAAATCAACATCATTCTGGGTCCTGACATCTCAGACTGCGGGTTTGGAGATGCTCTTTTGGAGAGTGTGCAATCTGAATAGACAGATGAGAGATGCCTCTGAGCCCCAAGCTGGGAGAAGAGGAAGCAGGGAAGCAGGGAGGCCGAAGAGAAAGCAGTTTTCCAAGCTAGAGCCCTGGGTGGGTTCTCCCAGAGAGCAGACCTGTTTTCCTTCCCTGCCTAATTGCAGTCCTGACAAACACGCTCACCTCTGGCCATATTGCCCAACCGGGAGCACCAGAAGGGCATTGGTGGTGGGAGTGGGCCTGTCCCAGGTGTCCTGCTGGAGTCTCTCCACAGCCCCTACACCCCTGCCTGTTGGCCTGATCTGTGGCCCTTTCTTCAGCCCCTGCAGGTGCCATGACTCAGCAGCCCCAGGAGGACTTTGACAGGAGCGTGGAGGATGCCCAGGCATGGATGAAGGCTGTGCAGGATCAGCTGCAGGTCAATGACAACACACAGGGGCCCCGCGAGGCCCTGGAGGCCAGGCTGCGGGAGACAGAGGTATGCAGAGTCGTGGCCTCGGATGGCCCCATCCCGCCCCCCTCAGAGCTCAGGTTTCCTGTCTGTTAAATGGCAAGGGTGGACTAGGCAGGTGCTTCTTAAACTCTGATGTGCACACGGATCTCCTGGAGATTTTGTTTAAGTGCAGACTCTGATGGGGTCTGAGACTTTGCTTTTGACAAGTTCCAGTAATGCTGTTATTGCTGGTCCTCAGAACACACTCTGATGACAGGAACTAGAGCCTGTCCTCTCACACTCCTGTCCCTGCAGAGGGCACCTGTGCAGTCAGGTGTGTCCCCAGTCCTTGCTGGCCCGGGCCTGGCTTCCCATCCCTTCTCTGCTTCTGCCTGGCTGGGGTCCCTGCCAGATCTGAGTTGGCCAAGGTCTTTTTCCAGAGGGGTGGGGAAGGGATGCTGTCCAGTGAGGAGTGACTTCCTGAGCTTCTCCAGAACCAGAGCCTGGCTTTACCCACCCCCTGGCACAAGTCCATGTAGCACCAAGTGCTGGTGCCCAGTGCCTGGCCTGGCATTGTGGTGCCCTGTCAGAGGGTGGGCTGCCCGAGGCCTGGGGACAAGAGGGAAGAATGCTGAGCTAAGAGTCAGAGGCCTGAGTTATAGTCTCTGCTGATGCTCGATTGCTGTGTGACCTTGGTCAAGTCCCTGTCCCACTCTGGGCTGCAGTTTTTCCATCTACACATGGAGCGGTTGACTTACATACCTCCGGGGTCACCTCCATTTAGATATCCCATAATTCTAGTTTATCACCCAACACGGTTGCTCTGAGGGGAGGGCCTGCCTTCTCCTGCAGCAAACCCGTCGCCCAGCCAGGCTGGAAGCAGTGGTGACCCTGCAGCTGGCTCCCTGCGTGTGTCCTTCTCTTCTGGATTCTGCACATGGCATTGCACATACCTCATGCCCTTTCCGGAAGTGGACAGTGGAAATGAAGAATCTGCATCACCTTTTCCGAGTCAGCGTTTGATTTCAGTGTCACCACCACATCCGGAGGCAGGAGCCATTGTCTGCATTTTACAGTTAGGGAAATGGAGTCTCCTCGCATGGTGTCCTATGACAGGAGAGCCCTCTCACCCACGTTCAAGCTGTCTTCTGTGCTCCCCTTACCTTCTGTTCAGAAAGCTCCCTGACAGTTTACCCAAGAGTGGAACACCCCCGTGGTCTGCCATCCCTGTGCCAGGGCTGGGCTGTGCAGGTGGGTGAGGCCCACCCTGCTCTTGGGGGTTCCCAGCCCAATGGAGACACATATACAATCAGGGCAACTACACAAGCGTGTGTAAGGTGCACCGCTAACGTGGGCCCCGTGATGTTATTCTCCTCCTCTAAAACCTTCCATCGCTCCCACTATCCACCAAAGAAGCAAACTTCACCTGGCATAAAAAGTCCCCCACTATCTGTACCACTTGGTTTTCCAGCCTTAGCTCAGCCACTGCCACACCTCCCACGCTCACACCAGCCTTAGCTCAGCCACTGCCACACCTCCCACGCTCACACCAGCCTTAGCTCAGCCACTACCACATCTCCCACGCTCACACCAGCCTTAGCTCAGCCACTGCCACACCTCCCAAGTTCACACCAGCCTTAGCTCAGCCACTGCCACACCTCCCACGCTCACACCAGCCTTAGCTCAGCCACTGCCACACCTCCCACGCTCACACCAGCCTTAGCTCAGCCACTGCCACACCTCCCACGCTCACACCAGCCTTAGCTCAGCCACTGCCACACCTCCCACGCTCACACCAGCCTTAGCTCAGCCACTGCCACACCTCCCACGCTCACACCAGCCTTAGCTCAGCCACTGCCACACCTCCCACGCTCACACCAGCCTTAGCTCAGCCACTGCCACACCTCCCACGCTCACACCAGCCTTAGCTCAGCCACTGCCACACCTCCCACGCTCACACCAGCCTTAGCTCAGCCACTGCCACACCTCCCATGCTCACACAAGGCTTAGCTCAGCCACTGCCACACCTCCCGCGCTCACACCAGCCTTAGCTCAGCCACTGCCACACCTCCCATGCTCACACAAGGCTTAGCTCAGCCACTGCCACACCTCCCGCGCTCACACCAGCCTTAGCTCAGCCACTGCCACACCTCCCACGCTCACACAAGGCTTAGCTCAGCCACTGCCACACCTCCCATACTCACACGAGCCTTAGCTCAGCCACTGCCACACCTCCCACGCTCACACCAGCCTTAGCTCAGCCACTGCCACACCTCCCACGCTCACACCAGCCTTAGCTCAGCCACTGTCACACCTCCCACGCTCACACCAGCCCTAGCTCAGCCACTGCCACACCTCCCACGCTCACACCAGCCCTAGCTCAGCCACTGCCACACCTCCCACATTCACACCAGCCTTAGCTCAGCCACTGCCGCACCTTCCATGCTCTTGCCCTCCTTCTACTGGCAGAAGACCACCTAGATTTTCCATTGCCCAGCCTTTGTCAGTGTGTTGCCTCTGCTTGGAATGCCGTTTCATTTGGGTCTGGGTGTGCTTGAGAAATGAAACCCTCCTGTCCGTGCATCTGACCCATTTCCCCACTTCTCAGCCCCAGCTCCTGGCCTTCCCCGTCTGTGACCATCACACCCTGCATGCGCGCTCACTGTGTTAGGGTACTTAGCACTTCAAACTTTACCCTTTGCTGGCAGGTCTTTCCCTCCAGGTGGTAGTTCTGGTTAAGCAAAGTCAAGGGTGGTCCTTAGAAAGATACATTGGTGGGGCCAGGGTGGACAGCCCTGGGAGCCAGAGGCAGCACTTCTGTGAGCCCCGAGGGAGTGGGAGTCGGGGCAGAGGGGAGTCATGGCTGAGCGTTCTGCCACTGTGTCCGCCCACAGAGCTCAGACATGCTTCATTTTCTGTGTGTTTTGCTATTTCAGAACCAGTTTCACAAGAAGAAAAAAACATCTTCTGTTGCCAGCTGGTGAAAGCGGGCAGCTAGTGCCTCTCAACCTCATGGCCTGCCCAGGTTCTGGGGTCTCCCTCATGCTTCCTCCACCAGCTCTGTTAGCCTTGTGTCCAGTGCCTGTTTGCTGCAGTGACAGGATGTGGGTTCTGACCCAGTGCTGACCCTTAATAGCCGTGCAGCCCGGAGCAAGTCCAATGCCTTCCCGGGTCCTCACATTCCCATCTGTAGAGCGGTAAAGAACCCCCTCATCCCTTGTGTTCCCAAGGGGTTATGGGAGACTCCAGAACCCTCATGGAGTGGGAGCTTTCTGTAAGGTGTGATTGGAGAACCCAGCACTCCTGGGTTGGAGCTCGGCTCCTGGACCCGCAGGCCTGGACTCCAAAATCTGCCATGGCTGTGGCACCTCAGGAGGGTTTTCCCTGAGCTTCAGCTTGCTTCTGGGAAAAGTGATAGCTGCTGCCTTACAGGAGGAGGGAAGATTAAGGAGAATCACTTCTAGACATGCTTGCATGCGCAGTGCAGGGTCTGCTGGCAGAGCTGGGTAAATGGAGGCTGCTGTTACCTGAGGTTTTAGAAGCTGGTATAACAGCGTACCAACTGTCTCTGCCCATCCCCAGAGCCTCCAGGAGTGGGTCTTAGGAGCTTCCAGCCACTCTTCCAGGCCCCAGAATATTTATTTGTTTATTGAGATGGGGTCTCGCTCTGTTGCCCAGGCTGGAGTGCAGTGGCGCGATCTCTTGTCCCGTACCTGGGTCCAGCCCTGAGCCAGGCAACTTCCTCACCAGCTTCTGGGCACCCACTTGGTCAGGGGCATCCTGGTGTTTCCCAAGGCTTGGCTTCCCAATGCATTCATCCCTCAATATATCTTACTTCTCTACCTTTGCTCAAATATCCTTCTCCAGTGGTCTTCAATTAGAGACCTGCAGGCTTGATGCCAATGCCACCTCTTCCACAAAGCCTTCCTGGATTTCTCCCATCCCTCCTTGAGCTCTCATACTACTCTGCAGTCTCTTCTGGCCCTTTTTGGAGTCATCTATGCTCTTACCTGCAGCCCTCCTCCTCCCAGCTTGTTCATCCAGGACCCTGGCACCCAGCGTAATAGTCAGCTGGGGGGTCACCTGGTCTCCGCTGAGTTGAAAACCCTGATTAACCCCATTCCTTCACTTTCCAGGTTTTCTGATTCTTCTCTCCAGGGTATTTCATTCTGTCTGATCCCCACCTTCCCCTTGCTCTCATTGGCTGCTTCAAATTAGAATAATTTTGTGGCCGCAGTTCAAGTACTTTCTCCCAGCTGGCTGCGCAGCCCTGGCCCAGCACTTCTGGACCACGCCCTTCTGGTCATGGGCTGTGAAAGAACCCCACACCAGCCAAAGAGTGTCATGATCAGGGCAGTGACAGAGGGTGGAATCTACCTCTCAAAATTCGGCTTTCCCAGCCCAGCCACAGCCTCTGGCCTCCCCTGGCTTCAGGCCTCCAAAACACATCCCACAGGGGGATCTTTTGGGGCAGACATTTCTTCTCCAGGTGGGGTGGGGGCTTGGCATCTTGCCAGCTCCTCTGCTTTGGGGAGGAAGCATCAAACTCACTCCCTTGAAAAGACAGTGGGTCTCGTGGGTACTCATGGCTCTCCCTACATTACCTAATGCTTATCTTCCCCCATTCCTAGGCCTAGAGAATGTAACTCCTGTGACAAAGGTCACGTCAGTAGTAGGGAGTGGCCCTAGGATTGGAATCCAGTCATATTTGTCTACAGAGACCAAGCCTTAGCTGCCACGGAACTGGAACAATAGCTGCAATGACAGTAGCGTTAATTGGAGACTTACTGCTTGCTGGACATCGTGTGTTGGTCTTGGTCCTCCGAAAAGCTGACACCAAGACCAGATGAAATGTGCATGCTATTTATTAGGGGGAACACCCTGGGAGAATATGGGGAAGAAGGGAGTCAGGAGAGGCCAGTCAGAGGGATGCAGAGGTGATGCCAAGGCCAGGAGAGCAGCGAGGAAGGAGCGAGGTCAGGAGGGCCCGTCTGACTGCCGTGGGCTCTAGGGCAGTTTCCAAGCCATGGGCTGGTTGTGAGTTACAGTCACTCACTCAGCATCTCCCACAATGGACCTGCTTCAGTGTCCCGGCTGCTCTTGGGCTCTGGTGGGAGCAGCCTCAGGAGCAAGGCTCTGGTGCAAACTGCAAAGGCAGAGATGATTCTGGAAACTCGGCTGGGCCCTGGGTCGGGCCAGCTCCCTGCAGTCCCCCTGAGAGGTGGGCCCTGGGTCGGGCCAGCTCCCTGCAGTCCCCCTGAGAGGTGGGCCCTGGGTCGGGCCAGCTCCCTGCAGTCCCCCTGAGAGGTGGGCCCTGGGTTGGCCCCCCTGAGAGGTGGGCCCTGGGTTGGCCCAGCTCCCTGCAGTCCCCCTGAGAGGTGGGCCCCGGGTCGGGCCAGCTCCCTGCAGTCCCCCTGAGAGGTGGGCCCCGGGTCGGGCCAGCTCTCTGCAGTCCCCCTGAGAGGTGGGCCCCGGGTCGGGCCAGCTCCCTGCAGTCCCCCTGAGAGGTGGTCCACGGGTCGGGCCAGCTCCCTGCAGTCCCCCTGACAGGTGGACTCTCACGCTGCACTCTGAGACATGTACCTCACGTGCATTTTCTCATCTTTTAATCCTGAAAAAAATCTGAGAGATAGATAGGATTCATACTTGCACTTTACAAATGAGACGTGTCTGAGTTCACACAGCTAGAAAGGGGGTCGAGTGGCATAGCAGGGAGTCATTCATCAGATGGCACCCGGCATGCTTATCTCCATTGCTCCAGCCTCCCACCCTCAGTTATTAGCAGGTTGCCCAAGACCCCACAAGAAGGGTTGCAGGGACTGTGATGTGAATCTCAGATCCTCTGGCCTTCGAGTCCTGGCTCTTTGCACCATGCCACTGTCTTCCCAAGGCTGTGCCTGTCTGCCTTTTGCCCAACTCTGGAAACTGGCTTGTGTGTCCACAACAGAAAATATGCCAGCTGGAGCCCGAGGGGCGTGTGAAGGTGGACCTGGTGCTGCGGACGGCTGAAGCCCTCTTGGCATGCTGCCCTGGGGACCAGAAGCCCGAGATCCTGGCCCGGCTGAAGGATATCAAGGCCCAGTGGGAGGAGACGGTCACCTACATGACTCACTGTCACAGGTAGGGCATCCAGGGCCTGACCTCCCTGGGCCTTTGTCCACAGCTGCCATTGACTCTCCCTGCCCACCACGACACTGGCTTGGGCCCTCTGCCCAAGAGACATTCTCCAGTCCTGGGATTCCAGGGCACAGGATGTTCTCTTGGGGTTAGGGCCAGCCCTGCCTGCCTCTTTCTAATTATAATCAAGTTGAATGATGGTAATAGACCCTGGGAACCCGGCGTGTTTTGCCAACAGTTCCTAAGAGATTTAGCACGTGTGCATCCTCCAGGAGCATGGGAGAGTGGCTCTGGAGAAAAAAGGCCTGGTGCCCCGCTGGCACTGTAGCCCAGATTCCCTGCCTGTACCAGGAAGCTGGGTGGGTGTCGGGAGGGGCAGGGGGTGGTGAGGAGCAGACACTTGGACAGACCTGGCATTGACTCTTGTCCTGCTGGTTACTTCCTGTGTGGCTTTGGGAAAGTTACCTGACCTCTCTGAACCTCAAGAACTGCCTCTGGACAATGGGAGTAATCAAGTGCTCCTTGAAGGTTGTTAGGAGGTTAGAAGGGGATAGTGAATGTCAAGAGCAAGGCACAGTGCTTGGCACAGTGTAGGCCCTCAGTAAACAAGAGCTGCCAGGATCACCTCCATCTGTATAAAGCAGGAATGTGTGTGGAGATGGGAATGACTTTGCATAGTGCTTTCTGCTTGCTAAATCCTTGCACTTAAAACTCCAAACAAAATAGCTTGATATTGGCTGGGGAGATAGAGCCACCTCCCCAGGTGAGATGGGGAAACTAAGGCAAGCAAAGAGGAAGGGGTGCAGAGTGAGAACAGCACCCCTGGAACCCACACCCAGGCTCCCAGCCTTCCGTCCCCATTGGGTGCAGCGAGCCCACAGGTGCAGGGTGCCCCGCGGGTGACTGGAGCCCCCAGGTGCAGGGTGCCCTGCGGGTTACTGGAGCCCACAGGTGCCGTGCCCTGCAGGTGACTGGACACATCCCAATGGCACTCTTCTCCTAATATTAGTGGGTGCCTGTGCCAGGGACCCAGAGAAACTGTGCTCAGAGCCCCATTGCCAGAGGGAAGTGATTGGGGATGTCTGTGCATTGATAGTGGGAGTTCAGGGCCAGGATTTAAGATGCTGGAGATAAAGGGCTCCCCAAGATGCATCCCCAAAACTGGTGGTTCCTGGAGCAAGTTTGGAGTCTAAGCTCCCCTGGCTCTTACCCTCCCTTGGGGAGCTTGTTTACTAGGTAGAGGGTCTTATCCAGCAGGATTGAGGGAGGGTCCAGAATCTGGAGTGTCAACAAGCTGACTCAGGTGCCAGAAAGGGCATCATCATGCCCCCAGGCCACAGCCACCTAGTATTGGTGGGGGAGAGGTGGCAGCACAATCCCCTGACCTGGGAGGCAGCTGGCGGGTTCCCTCACAACCGTGAGGTCTCTGTGCCCACAGCCGCATCGAGTGGGTGTGGCTGCACTGGAGTGAGTACCTGCTGGCCCGAGATGAGTTCTACCGCTGGTTCCAGAAGATGATGGTCACACTGGAGCCCCACATCGAGCTCCAGCTGGGCCTGAAGGAGAAGCAGTGGCAGCTGAGCCACGCCCAGGTGCTGCTGCACAACGTGGACAACCAGGCGGTGCTCCTGGACCGGCTGCTGGAGGAGGCAGCCTCCCTGTTCAACAGGATCGAGGACCCCAGTGTGGACGAAGATGCCCAGAAGAGAATGAAGGCTGAGTATGATGCAGTGAAGGCCAAGGCCCAGGTGAGGCTGAGTGGGCTTCATCTTCACCCACCCATCCATTTAGCCACCCTTCTCTGCCCATCCAGACACTGTTTGCCTACTATCGATCTACCTGCTATCAATCTGTCTACACACTGTCAACCTATCCACCTGCTATCAGTCTATCTACCCACTGTCAACCTATCCACCTGCTATCAATCTATCTACTAATTATCAACCTATCCACCTGCTATCAATCTACTAATTATCAACCTATCCACCTGCTATCAATCTATCAATCTACCCACTGTCAGTCTATCTACCTGCTATCAATCTACTAATTATCAACCTATCTACCTGCTATCAGTCTATCTACCCACTGTCAGCCTATCTACCTGCTATCAATCTACTAATTATCAACCTATCTACCTGCTATCAATCTATCTACCCACTGTCAGCCTATCTACCTGCTATCAATCTACTAATTATCAACCTATCTACCTGCTATCAATCTATCTACCCACTGTCAGCCTATCTACCTGCTATCAATCTATCTACCCACTGTCAACCTATCTACCTACTATCAATCTATCTACTAATTATCAACCTATCTACCTGCTATCAGTCTATCTACCCACTGTCAGCCTATCTTCCTGCTATGGATCTATCTACTAATTATCAACCTATCTACCTGCTATCAATCTACTAATTATCAACCTATCTACCTGCTATCAATCTATCTACTAATTATCAACCTATCCACCTGCTATCAATCTATCAATCTACCCACTGTCAGCCTATCTACCTGCTATCAATCTACTAATTATCAACCTATCTACCTGCTATCAGTCTATCTACCCACTGTCAGCCTATCTACCTGCTATCAATCTACTAATTATCAACCTATCCACCTGCTATCAATCTACCCACTATCAGTCTATCTACGTACTATCAATTTATCTACCTATCAGTCTATCTACTTACTATCACTCCATCCTCCTATCTATTTACTATCACTCTACCTATCAATTTACCTATCAATTTATCTACCTACTATCAATCTACCTACTAAAAATCTATCTACCTCCTATCAAACTATCTACCTACTATCACTCCATCTACCTACCATCTCTCTGCCTGCTATCTACCTACTACCAATCTATCTATCTACTATTAATTTATCTACCTGCTATCAATCTCTCTACCTGCTATCACTCTACCTACTATCACTCTACCATCACTCCATCTACCTACTATTACTCTACCTACTATCAATCTACATTTTTTCAATGTATCCACCTGCTACTAATTTATTGACCTGCTATCAATCTATCTACCTTCTATCAATTTATCTACCTGCTACAAATCTACCTACTATCAATCTACTCACCTGTTCTCTAACCAATCACCCTCCTATCCATCGACCTACTCACCCATCTGCCTCCCCACCAATCACCCAATCTCCCATTCACTCTCCACCCACGCACCTCACCATTTGTTCATCTACCCCACCATCTGTTTATTCGTGTATCCTCCCACCCATCTGCCGACTCACTCATCCATCTCCTTCCCCACCAGCCTAACCAATCTCCTATTCATCTCTTCAGCCACTGAATTGCCCAGCCATTCCTCTACTCATTCACCTACTCATCAACCCAGCCACCCCTTCACCCACCGATTCATGCATCCATCTCTCCACTGCCTACTCCTTCACCACCTACCTACCCACTATCTGCCATAACCCACTCATTTATCCCGCCATTCACCCACCTAGCTACCCACCCACCAATCCTCACCTACCTACTCTTCCACCATCCATTCACTCATTCACCATTATCTACCATCCAGATATCCAGTGTTTCTCAGTGCTTAATATACATTTAGGTTGTTGACCGACTGATTGATGGACTATAATGTTCACTTTCATCTAAACAGCTTCCCCTTGCTCCTCCTTTCTCCCTATCCTTGGCTTCCTCCTCCCCTCCCTTCCTCCTCCTACCCTTCAGTCCTTCTCCCTCAGCATTTCCTCCTTGCTCTCTCCTGCCCTTGCCCCAGTCCCTCTGTCCATCCTCTGCCTGCATTTCCTCACCCCATTCTTGCCTTAATTTTGAAACAGTTCATTAAGTTCTCAAGTTCAATTATATTTTTTAGAAATTTTATTTGGTTCTTTATTATGTCTCCCTATTCCTTTTAACAAATTACATCATTTCCCCCTGAGATTTTGCATTCCTCCCAGATATAGCTTACATTTGCAATCACTCTAAACATACGTATTTTACGGTCTCCATCAGATTTTTCTAGTGGCTGAAGCTCCACATCAGGCACCTGTGTGTCTCCTGGCACGGTAGATTGTTTCCTTGAAGCAGAAAAAAAACGCTGTGGCACAGGCAGGCTTCACAGCAGGCTGAGTCTGCGGAAGCCCTCAGCTGGGACACCCCCTGAGAGTGGCTTTCTGTTGGCTTCAGCTGGGCTCCCCTGGAGATTTATCTTAACAATTTCTATTTTTATGTCCGTAAATTGGCTTGGGGATTCCCGAATCAAGCAGGTATTCTAAATGTGATCCCCAAGCCAGAATCATGCAACAGGCCCCAGCTCTACATTCTGAAAGGTGATGGGGTTTCTTCGTTGTTGTTGTTGTTCGTTTATTTTTTTGAAGGCTCAGGTTAAAACACTTACATTTCCTTCTGGGATTGGTTTTTAACAGTTTTTTTTTTCTGCTTCACCCTTGGGCAAGCAGGGGCGGGCAGCCACTTGAGCTTCTGTCTCTTTGCAGTGATCTCTGTTGCCTCTGAGCCCAAAGTCTCACTTTTTACTCCAGCTTGAGCATTAAACTCAAGCTTCTAGTAACCAAGACTTGAGGCGCCTGTGTGAGTTTAACAGGGTGGTTTCCCGGGCATCTTTATTTCTGGTCCATGGGAATATCCCTTTCCTTGGTGCGACGTGGGTCTGCACTGAAACAATGTTTGTCATGTTACAGTGAAACAATGTGTGTTACGTTACACTTTATCTGGCATTCCTGGCTCTCTAGTCTGCTGTAGCGCTGGCACTGGATGTCTCCTGGGTTCTTCATGCTGACAGTTTAAGGGAAGTAAGCTCTATGATAGCAGAGCTAGAGAATCCACCAGGAACAAGACTCTGGCACTTGGGAAGGTACCTGGATTCCAGGCCAGGCATTGCTGCTTCCCAGCTGTGTGGCCCTGGGGCAGCTCACCCGACCTGCACCCAGGGTGTGGGGACTATATGCTTACATGTGAACTCTTTGAAAACTGGCAAGCATTTTATCAATATAAAGAATGGCTTTTATTCTCAGTAGCAGGGAGAATAAATAGTAACAACAATGGTCTTTGTGGTGCAGCAGGTGCTCAGAACGATCTATCTCTACCCCAGCAGTTTGAAGGCAAACAAACCCCAGAGCCCTAGAGCAGGGTGACAGGAGGCTCCAGGAGACCGCACAGGGTCCAGAATGGATGCGCAAGGCAGGGATTTTACTTGGCTCTTGCAGAGGCAGCCAACTGGCCCTCATCTGGCCCTGCCAAGTCCCATGTGGCACACGGGCAGGCTTCAAAGCAATTATCTCTCCAGGTCTGCCCCTCTGGCCCGGCTGGGACAGGTGCCTGGCTCCACAGCCTCTTTGCTGTGACTTTACAGGAAACAGATGCTTGTGCCAATCAGCAGAGAGCGCCTGGTGCAGGGTGTGGAGGAGATGAGATAAAAAGTTGGTGTGTGTGCGCTGGTGTGTGCGTGTGTGTGTGTGTGTGTGTGTGTGTGTGATGGTGGAGGCTGCGGTGCTGAGTGAGCATCAGTTCTGGCCCAGATGCTGAAATGATCGCCTCCAACAGCCTCATTTTTTTTTTCTTTCTTTTCTTTCCTTTTTCTTGACAAAGTTTCACTCTTATTGCACAGGCTGATGCAATGGTGCAATCTCAGGTCACCGAAACCTCTGTCTCCCAGGTTCAAGCAATTCTCCTGCCTCAGCCTCCCGAGTAGCTGGGATTACAGGCACGCACCACCATGCCCAGCTAATTTTTTTGTATTTTTAGTAGAGATGAGGTTTCACCATGTTGGTCCAGCTGATCTCAAACTCCCCACCTCAGGGGATCTACCCCCTCGACCTCCCAAAGTGCTAGGATTACAGGCGTGAGCCACCATGCCTCGCCAAGAGCCTCATTCCAGGGGGCTCTCTCCTCGCATGTTCCAAAAAACCGTAGGCATCAAAGCTCTTATCAGTAATTGTGATTTTTTCCTAAACTTTTCCTTTCTCTGACCTCATCTGCTTCCCCAACCTTTTTATGATGCAGATGAAGATGTTACTGGACTCATTTTTTTAGATTAAAACACATTCTATGAGTCAGACACCAGAGGCCCAGTAGAAAAAGTCAGAAGTGCTGGCAGCTCCCAAGGTGGTGCTCCCTGCAGCTGCACCTCAGGTCTGGAGTGAGTCTCTGCACCTGTGACTATCAGGATGAGCTGGAGCCCCAAGTGCTTCTGTGGCCAGGCTGAGACAGTGGAAGGCAGGTTTGAGCTCCTGAAGAGGAAGTCCTTGCTTCCAGGGCTCTCAAGAGGCGAAGGCCCAGTGTGGGCAGTGGGGGGTGGGAAGGGGTCCTAGGGGCAGGAGCATGGGAGCCTGTGTCATGTGTGGAGACAGAAGTGGTGGGGGGGACTTGGGGGGCGATGATGGGGAGGCTCCCTCCATGGTAGAAGGCCTTGGATTGCGAGATGCGCTGGTGGATGCTGATGCCAATGTGGAAGCTGTTGTTTTTGGGGTGACTGGACCATGCATGGAGAAGTGAGTCCAGTAGCAGCTTTCTCAGCTGCTGGCTGAAGCCCATGGCCGTGTGATCATGTCTTCCTGCACCCCAGAAGTTGAGGACTTGGTTCTCACCCACAGGGAGCCTGGTCAGCTCTGAGATGGGAGCGCTGTGGTGTACCCTGGGGGTGTTTCCTGTCTCTCCAGAAGCTGGCCATGGGGAGGACTGAGGGGTAGGTGGGGAGGGCCAGGCAGGCCCCTCCAGCCCCTTCGAGGTTGTATTCTTAAGGTATGAGCATGCATTTTCATGGGTCGAGGAGCATAGCATCCACCAGATCCCATGGATAGAGCTTTCATGGATCCAAAGAGTGCCATGTTCTTCTGAAGCCTGCGAGGCTCCTGAGAGGGGCAAACTTTTCCATCACCCTTGGCTGGAGATTTAACTGCTCAGTCCTAAGCTCCTCATCAGCAAGGTGGGATGCAGCCCCAGTCATTGACCTCCTGGGTGTCCCCAGCCCTCAAGCCCCAGGCAAAGGGGGAGATTCTAGCCTCATCCCAAGACAGGTCAGAACTCCACATACCCAGCAGCCTGCAGAGATCCTTGGTGGTCCCAGCCTCCCGGTCCCTGCTCTGAATGCTTGGTGAAGACCTCCTCTGTGTAAAATGTCTCTCTCAAGGCAGTCCTCCAACTCTGGGGATAGATTTGTCCTAGTGCCTTCCTGGGGGGTCCAAGCTTGGCCTCAGGGTGGGGAGGGTCTCTAGGTTAGGATTAGTGCCCCTACTTTTACCTACGAGAGCCTATTGGCTCTGCTTGCTGTGCTAGGAACAGGCCACTGTTTCAATGATGAAGACCATTTTTGACGTCCAACATGTTAATTAGCATAGCTACTAGGGTTGATGGGGACAGAGCCACAGGAGTGCCATGGGGTCCTCCCTCCACTGCAGCCTCTGTGACCACCTGCTGGAGGGAGATTCTTGACTAGGGCCAAGGCTAAGCCCAGAGGGGAGCATTGGCACATCGTCAGCCCACAGCGTTTGCAAGTACAGTGCAGACAGGGCAGGTGAGCTTTGGGGATGGGCTTGCTTATTTGTTTTTAATCCCGATTTAGTTTTCCCAAAGGCAGGCACATGGAAGCCGCGGCTCTCACAGAAGTTGTGTCTGTCTGGCATCTTGGCCATGAATCAGAGCTGCTCGTGATGAATCAGAGATACTCGTGCAGCCCTTTGCAGAGGCATCAATCCACACCCTTGTTAATTGATCAGGTTTTGACATTCGTGACAGCTCTGCCCGCCGCAGATGGCATAATTGCTGGGTCTAGTGAGAGGGTTGAGCGCCTTCCCATTTGTCACCCTGCCATTTTCCAGCCTGTGACTGTTATGCCTGGCGCAGGCCTCAGCGGGATCCCCACCCCTCCTCCCAATCTCCCCTCTGAGCACCTGCTCCCCATCAACCAGACTTTTATTTACCCTGGACTTCTCCGGGTGCCAGCACCTCTTCCTTCACACACTGGGAGCCACAGTCCACACCTCTTCCTTCACACACTGGGAGCCACAGCCAGCACCTCTTCCTTCACACACTGGGAGCCACAGTCCACACCTCTTCCTTCACACACTGGGAGCCACAGTCCACACCTCTTCCTTCACACACTGGGAGCCACAGTCCACACCTCTTCCTTCACACACTGGGAGCCACAGTCCACACCTCTTCCTTCACACACTGGGAGCCACAGTCCCCACCTCTTCCTTCACACACTGGGAGCCACAGCCCACACCTCTTCCTTCACACACTGGGAGCCACAGCCCGCACCTCTTCCTTCACACACTGGGAGCCACAGTCCACACCTCTTCCTTCACACACTGGGAGCCACAGTCCACACCTCTTCCTTCACACACTGGGAGCCACAGTCCACACCTCTTCCTTCACACACTGGGAGCCACAGTCCACACCTCTTCCTTCACACACTGGGAGCCACAGTCCACACCTCTTCCTTCACACACTGGGAGCCACAGTCCCCACCTCTTCCTTCACACACTGGGAGCCACAGCCCACACCTCTTCCTTCACACACTGGGAGCCACAGCCCGCACCTCTTCCTTCACACACTGGGAGCCACAGTCCACACCTCTTCCTTCACACACTGGGAGCCACAGTCCACACCTCTTCCTTCACACACTGGGAGCCACAGTCCCCACCTCTTCCTTCACACACTGGGAGCCACAGCCCACACCTCTTCCTTCACACACTGGGAGCCACAGCCCGCACCTCTTCCTTCACACACTGGGAGCCACAGTCCACACCTCTTCCTTCACACACTGGGAGCCACAGTCCACACCTCTTCCTTCACACACTGGGAGCCACAGTCCACACCTCTTCCTTCACACACTGGGAGCCACAGTCCACACCTCTTCCTTCACACACTGGGAGCCACAGTCCACACCTCTTCCTTCACACACTGGGAGCCACAGTCCCCACCTCTTCCTTCACACACTGGAGCCACAGCCCACACCTCTTCCTTCACACACTGGGAGCCACAGCCCGCACCTCTTCCTTCACACACTGGGAGCCACAGTCCACACCTCTTCCTTCACACACTGGGAGCCACAGTCCACACCTCTTCCTTCACACACTGGGAGCCACAGTCCACACCTCTTCCTTCACACACTGGGAGCCACAGTCCACACCTCTTCCTTCACACACTGGGAGCCACAGCCCACACCTCTTCCTTCACACACTGGGAGCCACAGCCTGCACCTCTTCCTTCACACACTGGGAGCCACGTCCGGCACTTCCATGGGGCAGTTCACTCCCTGCCGAATCTATCACCATTGGCGCTGGCCAGGGGCCCGGCATTCAGCGTCTGCCTGTTACTCCTGGTCCACTTCATTTCTTGAATGAGCCTTTCCTATGGACGAAGGAGGCTCCAGGAGAGTTTTGATGGATTTAAGTAACCCCATAGGAAGGAGAAGCCAGCAGGGGAGTTTGCCGAGACCCGGGACCATCCTTAGGGCTGCAGGTGGGAAGCAGGAAGGGGACCATTCCCCTTGCTTGCTCCACTTTCAGATTCAAGCAGGGCCCATATTTTGAAATAATTTTGTCTTTCTGTATTCCAGTTGTAAACGATTTCAATTATTAAAACTTTAAAACAGGTTTCTGGTTGGGCGCAGTGGCTCACACCTGTAATCCCAGCACTTTGGGAGGCTGAGATGGGTAGATCACTTGAGGACAGGAGTTTGAGACCAACCTAGCCAACATGGTGAAACCCTGTGTCTTCTAAAAATACAAAAAAGAAAAAAAGTAGGCATCATGGCGCACCCCTGTAATCCCAGCTACTTGGGAGGTTGAGGCATGAGAATCACTTGAACTCAGGAGGTGGAGGTTGCAGTGAGCCAAGATCAGGCCATTGCACTCCAGCCTGGGTGACGGTGAGACTCCATCTCAAAAAATAACAAATAGGTTTTAAAATCAGTATGTATGATGCCTCCAATAATATTTCTCTGTTTCACAGTACCAGTTGGAGTGCTCAACATTTTTTTTTTTAGACAGGGTCTTGGTCTGTCAGGTAAGATAGGCTGCAGTACAGTGGTGCAGTCAGTTCACTGCAGCCTCCACCTCCCAGGCTCAAGCGATCCTCCTGCCTCAGCCTCCCAAGTAGCTGGGACTACAAGCATGCTTCGCAAACCCAGCTAATCCTTAAATTTTCTGTAGAGATGCCATCTCACTATGTTGCCCAGGCCAGTCTTGAACTCCTGGGCTCAAGCGATCCTCCTGCCTCAACCTCCCAAAGTGTGAGGATTACAGACATGAGCCACCAGGCACAGGCTTGAGAGAACTCCTCAGCTCTCTACTGAAGGACTTGTCCTAAGCCTGGGCTTCCCCATTTCTAAAATGGGGATGTTTCCTCCTACTTGCGCTGGTGGCTGCAAGGTTTATATGAATTAGTATTTCTAGATTGGGTGAGGGGATTCCCAAAGCAGGGGAAGGTATATCTGAAAGAGCTAAGGGGTTTTTCAGATGCACGTTTCTGTTCACTCTTCCCAGCTGAGGGCGTCTGACTTAGCTTTGCAGATGGTCAGGGCCTGGCTCCATGATGAAGGGCTGAGGTCAGCCAGCCATGGCTCACCTCATCCAGCCCATTCCTAGCTTCAGCCACATCCAACACATTCCTAGCTTTAGCCTCAGCCTCCGGAGTAGCTGAGACTACTGGCACGTGCCACCATACCCAGCTAATGCTTTTATTTATTTTTTTGTAAAGGCGGCGTCTCTCTGTGTTGTCCAGGCTAGTCTTGGACTCCTGGGCTCAAAAAATCCTCCCACCTCAACCTCCCAAAATGCTGGGATTACAAGCATGAACTAGAATGGCTTTTACATGTTCAAATGGTTGGGAAAAAATGAAAAGCCAGATATTTCTGGATGTGTGAAAATGACATGAAAAATATTTCAGGGCTCATGATTAAAGTTTTATTGGAATGCGGCCACTCTTTTCACGTTATCTGTGGCTACTCATGTGCTACAACGTAAGTTGCATGCCGGCGGTGGAATAGCCCCATAGGGCAGGCCAAGCTAAGAGCATTTCCTGTGTGGTCCTTGACAGAAACGGTCATTGATTTTGGAGTCTGACACTTGCCATTGGAATCTTTTCTGTAAGACCAAAAGAGTTATGTGATGTCCCAACTCCAGTCTGGACATTTGCAGAATAGGAGAGGGTTTTGTGATTGTTTGAGTATTAAAGAAGATAATGCTTTGAAGTTCCAGGCACCCCTAGCTTAGGTGCTTGTTAAGTGAGTCTCCTTTTCCCCTTTTCTTGGCTCTCTTTGGAAACTTCCCTCTGATGGCAAACACTCCAGATGTGTGCTTCCTGCCATTCAGGAAGTATTCACAGAGCCCTGCCCTGAGCTAGACCCTGGGAGATGAAATAACAGGGCCAGCATTGTTTCTAGGGACCTCCTGGATCCCCCAGTGGATGACGATGCCATGGACAACTGCTGTGACGAAGTGGCATCCCAGTGGTTTGGGGACACAGAGGGAAGGTCGTTAATTCAGCCTGGGGTAGTGGGCAAAGATTCAGAATGAGAAGGATGGGTCTGGGGTTAGTATTGCGGGTGGGCACCCACTGGGGGTGTGAGAAGAGCTTTGAGAGAGAAGGCAGGAGGCGATCAGCGATGCCTCGCGGCTGTTAAGCACTTACCAGCTACCAGGTCTGTTTTAGGCGTTGTGTGAGCTCCGGCCCATTTCATCTCACGTTCTCCCAATAAGGCAGGTGTTATTAACCATGCCATATGGAGGAGGGGGCTTGGGCACAGAGGATTAATTAGGTGCCCAAGGTGGGGCCAAGGTTCAAGCCACAGACAATGGGATCCCAAAGCCAGGGTCTTGACTGCTCGACCACAGAGCTACATCATGGGGACCTGTCCTTGAAATGCTAGGCTGCAAGGATTGGACTTGGGCCTGGGGCCAGCAGAGAGCCATGAAGGAATATGGGGAGATGGCACTGTGATCAGGGCATGTTTTGAAAACCATAGTCTCTAGGAGTGCAGAGGGGCTAATAGCAGGGACACCGTCATTTTCCAAATGTCAGCCACCCCAGGGCATCATCTTGCCCCTGTGTTGTTAAGAGCTTTGGTGGGATTGGCTGAAAATAGCAATGACGCCAACCTATGCAACACACATCACCATATTCACAGGGAACTGGGGCCGCTTTGACACTGATTTGCACACCCTGTGGACACAGTTGTGTCATGGACCTGGAAATGCCGGTTGACCCAGCCTTGCCTCTCAGACTGAATCTTGGCGCCTACCTAGCTGGGTGATCTGGGGCAAGTCACTTTACCTCTCTGTATCTTGGTGTCCTCATCTGTCACACTGGGATTGCGATGGTACCGCCTTATGTGTGGTCAGGTGAGTTCACTGGGCTCATCTGTGTAAAGTTCTGAAAGCAGCGCCCAGCACCCTGGTGAGTGCCCAAAATGACAGTGTGACATGGTAGTAGCAGTGCTAATGTTGCCGCTGCTGTTGCCACACCCCAGTCTTGAGTGCCATTCCTAGGATGTGGCAAACAAAGAAAAGCCAGCTGCAGAATGACAGGGCCCAGTGCCAACGTGCTCTGGTCTCCAAAGCCAAGTCTCTTGACGTATTGCTCGTAAGGCAGGACAGAGTGAGAGCTCTTTGTGTCCAGAGAAAGGGCTGGGGGTTGGTTGCACCTCCTGCTAACACACACACACACACACACACACACGTGCACGCGCGCACACACACACACAGGCAGGCTTTTTCTGGCCGTCAGGCTTTCTGGGCTAAGGACATTCATGGCTGGTGATTCTCCTCCTCCCACAGGACCGGGTAGATCTGCTGGAGCGGGTGGCCCAGGAGCACGAGGCGTACCAGGCAGGCGTGGATGAGTTCCAGCTGTGGCTGAAGGCAGTGGTGGAGAAGGTGAACGGCTGCCTGGGGCGGGACTGCAAGCTGCCCATCACGCAGCGCCTGTTCACACTGCAGGTAACCCCCAGCTGTGTCTCAGCCAAAGGGGCCCTGGGGCACTCACAGAGGGTGGGTTCTATGTTATAGTTTCTTTACTAGGACAGTGCTTGGTGCCACAGAATATATAAATACCCATGGCCCACAGAGCCCTGTGAGGAGAAGCGTGGAATCTTGTATGAAATGCTGGGGTCCTCGGAGGCTTTATGGAAATCTCTGGCCATAAAGCCAGAGCATTTGGAAACCCAGGACCACAGCAGCAAGGTCAAGGCCAGTGGGTCTCAAATTGGGGCATTTGGCAACATCTAGAGACTCCTCGCCCCAGGGAAAACCTTTGGCAATGTCCTAAGAGGGGATAGAGTGTCGGGTGCTGCTACTGCACCCAGTGGGCGGTGGCCAGAGAGGCTGAAAGACACCCCACAGTGCACAGGGCAGCCCCACACAGCACAGAACCACCCAGTGCACACGGCAACGGTGCCCGGTGAGAAGAACCGTGGTGCAGGCCTCAGCCTGCCATCGGGAAAAGTGGGGTCCCCACTTCTCACCTGCATGGCCCCGTCTCCAGACTCCCCGACTCCCTCCACAAAGTCAGTGGATAGAATGTCTTTAGTAATTCAGAGCTCCAGCTGTGCAGTGCCTGAACTATTTCTTTAACATTTATGTTTAAATGGACTCATTTTTTAAAAACACCGATGATTAGTTATTCAGAAAGAAAACACATCACCGTCATCAATGGAAAAGAGGGTGCCCATTCTAAATAGGCAGATAACCACACAAATAAGTACAATGAAACCAAATGGAGCCATTTGGCTCTATTTGGCTCCATAGTGTTGCCAGCTGAAGGCGTGGAAAGGAAGGTAAACAAATGTCAGAAAGTGTTAAAGACAGAAGCACCTGACAGAGACTTTCTCCTTGACTAAATAAGATGACTCGGAAAATACAGGAAAGCAATAGGGTTCTCAGGGTGGGGTGGGGGGTCCATGCACTCAAGGTAGACAGCCCAGCCCTTGGGAAGACCCCTCTGGCTCTAACGCTGGATGCCAGGAATCAGTGTTTCACATGGCAGTCCTAGGTCTGCTCTGGAAAGTGCAGCCACTTTTTTTTCCCCCTGCCTGTTTTTCCCTCACCCGCTCTGCCCTCTTCAGGACATTGCCAAAGATTTTCCCAGGGGCGAGAAGTCTTTGGAGAGGCTGGAGGAGCAGGCTGTGGGCGTCAATCGGAACACCTCTCCTTTGGGTGCAGAGAAGATTACTGGAGAACTGGAAGAGATGAGGAATGTTCTGGAGAAGCTGCGTGCCCTCTTGGAGGAGGAGGAGGAGCGCCTGCGAGGCCTGCTCAAGTCCAGGGGAGCCTGTGAGCAGCAGATTAAGCGCCTGGAGGCCGAGCTCAGCGAGTTCAGGACGGTCCTGCAGAGGCTGGCTCAGGACAGCCTGCAGCCTGTGGCGAAGGCCAGGACCAAGGACGAGCTGGTGGCCCACTGGAGACGCTACTCGGTAAGCATGCTTAGCCGAGTCACGGAGCCTGGGGTGCCGTCTGTGCGCTCAGATCTCCTCTGTGATGGAGAATCGCGCTGAGCCTTGAGCTCACTCATGCTGCTTCTCTAGGACTCTTGGTTTCTCAGCTTCTTGAGCAGGGAGTAGACAAGTTGGTTGTTTATCTCCATTTTCTGGATGAGGAAGCTGGGCCTGTGGAGATTTCCCCCTCAACATCCGTAGGGTCACATGGTGGGTCTGGGAGCAAATAACAGCAGGGGCGGAACGGGCAACCAGGTTTGGGCCTCAAAGCTACTCTCTTGCCCAGTGGTGAGATAAGGGCTGGGCTTCCTCTGCATGGAACAGGGAATGTTGGATCAGAAGGGGAAACTCTTACTGTGGAGATGATGGGGAGCAAACATGGGCCCCTACGAGGCCAAGCAGCAGAGGCCCACAGTGGCACGGGGTTGCTCCCAGACCCAGACACGACATCCCATCAGAGGCTCCCCCACCCCTCCCTCCAGGTATATGCACCGAAGCTTGACATGTGGATAAAGAAAGTTTTAAAATAAGAAGCATCAGCCCTCCTTACCTCTGTCTTTATTATCATTAACTCAGTGTCACAGGAGATATCTACAAGCAAAGCCCCCCCGCCAGCTCTTACCCGCACTCTGCCACTGTTGTTGTATTTTTTCTCTTCCTTCTAATCTTTGCCCATATGCAAAAGTATTTTTTGTAGGGAGAAACAAAGGGCACGTACTCTTCAGGGCTGTCTTCTCACCTGGTCTCGTAGCAGACCAGGTTACCCTGCAGTGACCACCTTCCTGCAAAGAGCACTGTCCTCCCCTTGGCACTGTCTGCCTCAATGCGCGTTGGAGGTCATATGGTACAGTGGTGAGGCATGGGACTTTGGGACCAGACTAGCTGGGTTGATGTCCTAGTTTCTCCCATTGCTAACCAAGTGGCTTTGGGAAAATTAATCTCTGTTATGTGTGAAATGAAGCACTGAGAGGCTAGATGACTTGCCTGTGGTTATACATCCAATAGGTGGAGACAGGGATTTTAACTTGAACCCAGGTTATCTGACTCAAGGTCACATGCTTCCAACCACAGGGCCAGCTCAGGGAGCCTGTTCTAGAAAATCAACATAGCAAGAGGAGCAGACCAGGAATCCAGACTTCAGGGGATCTGTCCACCGGGACTACAACCCCAGATGCTCCCAAGAGAACAGGGGACTGGCTGTGACTTGTGGCATCCCTCTGCTGACCAGAACAGGACCCCTGTCTGTTTCAGGGAGACTGACTGTTTGCAGCAAAGGTTGAAATCAGGGTGGTTTTGTGGCTTATCCAGTGTCCTGTTAGGAAATGCAACTACCTGGCAAGGCCCACCCACCTGAGCCTTCCAGGGAATCAGCAAACGAAATCCGACAACATCACGGGTACCAGCATGGCGCATCAGAGCTGGAAGGGATGCAGTCTTATTTTACAAGGAGGGAAACTGAGCCTAGAAAAAGTCATGCTTAGCCAGGCCACCCAGCCATGGCGCAGCATCCCACTGTGGCTACTCCAGGAATGAGGGCCCTGGGTGTCCTGCACTTCCTCAAGTTGATAATGGGCCTTCCAGTGGCCTGGACAGGCCTCTCTCTGGGGGCAGCCCCTGGTCTTGCTCACCCCTGCACCCTTGCCCTTCCTCGGCCAAATCCCTGGAGGCCAGCCAGCTTTCCTGGCGACTGATATACAGGGCTTCTTCATGAATGATTTCCAAGCTACCAGTTCCCACAAACCAACTGTGTCTGATCTTCCATGAAAAGTTTCATAGACATCATTACATTTGCTAACTAATTGAATCGCGATAGGAATATTTTCGAGAATGAACAGGGCTGGCCGGGCAGATTCTATGTCCTTCTGCCTACATAGTGGCCCCTGTTGCCCCAGCTGCTGCCTAAAATCCTTCCCTCTATTTGCGCGTTCTCTCCTAAGCTTAATACTCTTATCCCTGTTCATCTGTGGATACCCCAGGCTAAACCTAATTGGAGCTGTCCCTGGTTCCTCGTGGCTGGAGGATTGAGCAGAGGTTGTTAAAAAAAAAAATAAAGAAGAAGGGTAAAGCATAGGGCTGCCTCCTGGGTTTGAGGGAGCTGGGGATGGAGAGACAAGGGTACCCTGCTCTGTACCAAGTACCTTGTCAATATCACCCGACCCACGTGGTTGGTGAGAGTGGCCCCATTTATCAATGAGGGAACAGCCTAAAGTGAACAGCTAGGAAAGGACAGAGGTGGGTCTCCCGCCAGCTCTGTGTTATGCCGAAGCCCATGCACTTTCCACTACCCCACCCTGCCTCCTACTGAGCAGGGCTAGGCCAGGTGCTGGGAGTCCTGCAGATCAAGGTCAAATGCGGAACTTCCCAGGACAGCAGGGAAAGGCTGTGTCTGGAGTGTGCACACAATGAAGTGAAGCAACTGGTAATAGTCCATGCAAATATCTTCTAGGCCTGCCTGGAATAATCGCCGGGTTGACAAAGCACCGTTAGAGGCAGGAAGAGGCCCTGCTATGATGTCGGGTCCACCATCCACAGACTCTGCAACTATCAGAGAGCCCTTAGCCCGAGTTTCTGTGTAAATAACATGGGGACACAGACTAGCCTTTCAGGCTTAAACAAATGGGACACCCACGGCACTCAGCCTGGCATTGGTGTCTCCTGAGTATTAGTTATTTGTATCATTAGGTGCTAGTGATTGCCATGACAATGCTGGGAGGTAGGGGATAATAAAGAGCCGAACTGTAGCCCAGCAACAGACAGTAAAAGCAGAGTTCCAAGTCATGGAACTGGAGATGAGAGGGCGGGGGCTGAGCTTGAGTGGGGCCCCAGTTCCTGCTCTTGCTGACAGTTTCCTCCCAGCCTGAACCAACCTCAGTGGCTACACTCACTCCCCTACACTTATCCCGTTAAGGAGCCTCATCCCCCCTCCCCGCTGTGTCGTTGTATGCTGCAGGCAACACAGGCAGCGCTGGCCTCGGAGGAGCCCCGGGTAGCCCGGCTGCAGGCCCAGCTGAAGGAGCTCATGGTCTTCCCCCACGACCTGCAGCCGCTGTCCAACAGCGTCGTGGCTGCCATCCGGGAGTATCAGAGGTATCTGGGAAGGCCGAGGGCGGTGGGACTCAGGGTGTGCTGGAACCCACGTCTCCCCATCTCCAGAAGGCGGGCTTGCTTTCTCCTGCAGCCTAGGAACTTCTAAATCATTCTCTGCACCTCTCAGTGACGGGCTTTTACAGGTTCTCACTTGGCTCAGACACTGTCCTGTTTGACTGTTTTGCATTTGCTCGAAGAAAGAGGCCTGAACTTGCATTTATCCAGGCTAGTGGCCCAGCCACCCATCCGGTCATGACTCTTTATGCAGATTAGCATTGGGGAGCGGTGATGGCCCAAAGGGAGGGCTTTCAATTTTCCATCCCCCTGCCTTCTGACGCTGACTTCAACATCTGAGTGTCTCCAGATCAGCCTCCACCTGCCCCGCAGCCCCTGGGCTCAGGCACAGCAAGGCCTCCAGCTTCCATTTAACATCTACAGATAATTTTTCAAATAGAATGTCCAGTACCAAGTCATAGGTAACCAGTACCTGAAACCTCGGTAAGAGAAACCAGAGGGAGAGGAAGACCCTTGGCCACTCTGTCTTTGCCTTCAGCAAAGGGTCTTCAGTCTAAAGACCCTTCAGGCCACTCTGTATCCTCTCTGTGCAGAACCGAGCAAAGTGTTGATTTGAAATCTGTTACCTGTCTTTGCTGCATGAGCCTCAGAGGTGTTCTGAACATAGCACAACTTTCCCCGTGGCTGTCGGGCATCTCCTATCTTTGCCTGGTACCAGGAGCTCCCACCTTTGCTGTGTGTCTCTCATCCCACAGCATGCTCAGGCCCACATCTATAAAATAGGGGCAGTGGCCTGGATCCCCTGTGGGATGCTAAGGTAGGGGTAGGGCTGGGCTTGGGGGTTGGATTTCCTGTGCACGAAGCGGGCAGGGAGACAGAGTGGCTAAGGGTCTTCCTCTCCCTCTGGTTTCTCTTACCGAGGTTTCGGGTACTGGTTACCTATGACTTGGTGCTGGACATTCTATTTGAAAAATTATCTGTAGAAATTAAATGGGCCTAGGATGACGGTATCTTATTTAAGAAAGGGTTTGGTTTGCTTCTTCCAGGTGCCTGGGGGCAGGCAGGACTGGTCTAGGGTCTCCATGATTTATCCTCAGGGCCTGTAGTTCCCTGGTCTGTTTGACTGGCTTGCAGTGCACTTTCATCCTGAAGGCATGACCTTTGCGATGCCAGCTTCACGTGAGGCGCGGTTTTCAGAATCTGCCTGTCTTTGATAGGCCCCTCTCCTGAGAGGCTGCCAAAGCCCTAAATCAGTTTTGCAGCTCTTTCTTCCAGATTGGCAAATGTCCTCAGGGTCGAAGTAGCTTTGGCTGTTAGACTCACATTTCTATTATTGTTTTTTAAAACTTTGATCAGGCAATTTTTTTTTGTCTTTTGTTTTTGTACTCAGTGGGAAGGCCAGTCTGAATTAATTTTCTTCCGTGACTGGAAGAATAATGTCTCCATGTGTCACCTCATGTAACACTTAGAATGATTGTATGAGAGGGGTGCCCTTTTCAGAGGCAAGAAAGCTAAGACTTATTAATGTTGAGCCCCTTAAGGTCCCATAGCTGGCTCCAAACTCCCAGCTCTTTATAACTACTATAGAATCAGAGAACACTTATTCCTCTTATTTATGTATGTATTTATCTGGAGACAGGTGTCGCTTTGACACCTAGGTTGGAGTGCAGTGGTGCAATCAGAGCTCACTGCAACCTCAAACGCCTTGGCTCAAGCAATCCTCTTACCCCAGCCTCCCGAGTAGCTAGGACTACAGGCATGCACCATGATGCCCAGCTAATTTTAAAATATTTTTTGTAGAGATGGGGTCTTGCTATGTTGCCCAGGCTGGTCTCATACTCCTGGCCTCAAGTGATCCTCCTGCTTTGGCCTCCCAAAGCGCTAGGAGTACAGGTGTGAGCCACCGTATCCTGCCCATGCATGCAAATTATATAAGAGCCTACAGGTCCCAGGGAGCCCCAGTGTCTGTTCTCAGGAAGACCCCAGGCCTGCAACTGATGCTTTTTCATAGTGATATTAACCAAAGTTCCTTCCAACTACATCTTGTAACTACTACTGCAGACACCCCCAGCAACTGAGATAGGAGAGAGCCCACCCTGGGAGCAGCGAGCAGCACACACTGGGCCTTTTGAGGGTCTCAGCAGAGGCCCCACCCCTGGACTGAAGCCACTCTCTCTCCTCCCTCATTTTCTCCCTCCACGGTCCTCACAGCCTGAAGGGGAAGAGTGCCAGGCTGCGCAATGCTGCCGGGGTGGAGCTGTGGCAGCATTTCCAGCGGCCTCTGCAGGATCTGCAGCTGTGGAGGGCCCTGGCCCAGCGGCTCTTGGAGGTCACTGCCAGCCTGCCGGACCTGCCTTCCCTTCACACCTTCCTGCCCCAGATCGAGGTAACCATGGTCCTGCCAACGGGTTGTGACTGGGGTGGGCCACTGGTGGGGCATCGCGTTTCAGCCTCTCTCCCAGGGGAAGGTCCATTGCCGGATCTTCCGGATATCTGGGGAGAGCTCCCGTCTGCTGAGTCCTGGTGCACAGGGAGTGACTATGCTTGCTTGTTACAGTGGCAAAGGTCAGCTTGGCTCCTGGGCAGGAGGTGAAGCCGCCTGGGGTTAACCCGGGGTTCCGTACGGACGCTCCCCGCCCGCAAGCATCTCCCAGGTGGAGGCATCAGCAGTCCTGAGAGAGCAGCGTTATCAGGCCATTGCCTTTACTGTGGCTACAAGTGGCGGGAAATCTGACCTGAGCTGTGGTGGCTTAAAACAGCGACATTCAGGCAGTCCAGGGTGCCAGGCCACAGCTCAGCGGTGTCACCAGGACCAGGCCCTTTGTAGATCTAAGCCAAGTCCCCCTTCATGGCCCCAGCATGGCTGCTATGGCTCCAAACATGCACCTCCCATGAACAACTGGCTCTGGACAGAGCCCGCGGCGCACGGGGTCCTCTCCACCTCCACTTCTGCCTTTCAAATCCTTCCCTGACCTGCACACTCCCCTTACTTGGCTCATTGGCCAGTCAAGGTCATATGACTCTTCCCAGACCAATCACTGGCAAGGATGATGGGATCGCTGTAACTTGTTTGTACCAATTAGACTCAGCGCCCCGGAGCTGAGCCCTTTGCATCCCAAAATGCTGGTTGTTTGGAAAGAGAGAAGGAGGAATGGCTGTGGGATAGGCAGCAGACAGCATCTGCCATGATGCCCATCACTACTGTGTGCCCAGTGTGCCTGTACATACTGCCTTTGGCATCATTGAACTCGGAAGTCCGTCCAATGATTTTGTGTCTAGAGATTCTTAGACACAAAGAGTGGGAAAAGGCTCAAACGTGAGATGTAAGTCCCCATTTATGTCAATGTTCATTCTAATTATAAAGGGCATACCTACCTGGACAGCGTAATGGTGTGTGAAGAAGAAAACAAAAAGCTCCCATAATCCCACGGGCCACAGGGACGAACATGTCGGGGCAATTTCTCCATTGCTTTTTCTGCCACCTTGGTATTACGTGGGAGAACCAATAACCAGGGTTGGCCCCTGCTCACCGTTGGGTTTACTACTTAGCCATGTGCCTGCATTTCAAAACGTCTACATTTGCGATTTTCCACTTAGGGCTTATGTTGGAACAAGAATTTGTTTTCTTCTTCACTTTTGTTTTATTTTGTTTTGTTACGTTTTTTGGAGACCAAGTCTCATTCTATCACCCAGGCTGATAGAATGAAAGTGCAGAGGTGCGATCCCAGCTCACCGCAACCTCTGCCTCCTGGGTTCAAGTGATTTTCCTGCCTCAGCCTCTCAGGTAGCTGGGATTACAGGCATGCGTCACCACACCCAGCTATTTTTTTGTATTTTTAGTAGAGATGGGGTTTCACCATGTTGCCCGGGTTGGTCTCGAACTCCTGATCTCAAGTGATCCACCAGCCTCGGTCTTTCAAAGTGCTAGGATTACAGATGTGAGCCAGCACGCTTGGCCTCTCTTCATAATTTTTAAGCTGCAAGGCATGACTTTTCTTTCCAAGGGTCCAGTGGGCCCCTTCTCCCACCCCCATGCTCCAAAGGATGATTCCATCTTTATTAGGCAGGGCATCCTGGAGTGAATTTCTTATGTGCCACAAACCTCAATTTTAGGTCAGAAGATCCCAGATCTATCCTTTATATCTGATGAAATCCATTTAGATATTTTCGTGAGAGATCGAGACCATCCTGGTCAACATGGTGAAACCCCATCTCTACTAAAAATACAAAAAATTCGCTGGGCATGGTGGCGCGTGCCTGTAGTCCCAGCTACTCAGGAGGCTGAGGCAGGAGAATTGCCTGAACCCAGGAGGCGGAGGTTGCGGTGAGCCGAGATAGCGCCACTGCACTCCAGCCTGGGTAACAAGAGTGAAACTCCATCTAAAAAAAAAAAAAAAAAGATATTTCCATGAGATATGGTCACCAAGAGACAGAAGATTTAATTGTAATTTTTGTGTATTTGGATTCAAGTTCTGTAATTGCATATTCTGATATTTTCACGCCACACATTTTAGCTTTTTTTTCTCAGCATCATTTAAAATCATTCAAATAAAAGTGATCATTTTCAATGGCCGGATAATATTCTGTTTTGGAGTATGCCATAATTTAATGTATCCATGATTCGAGGTTTAGGTTGTTTTTGATTTTTGTCATAATTTACATATTTTGAATATGCACATGTAGTTTTGTTTCCATTTCTACCATGATCACCCTCATTTATTTTTTTATTTTTATTTTTTTGAGTTGGAGTTTCGCTCTTGTTAACCAGGCCGGAGTGCAATGGCACGATCTCGGCTCACCATAACCTCTGCCTCCTGGGTTCAAGCAATTCTCCTGCCTCAGCCTCCCGAGTAGCTGGGACTACAGGCACATGCCACCATGCCCAGCTAATTTTTGTATTTTTAGTAGAGACGGGGTTTCACCTTGTTTGACTAGGATGGTCTTGATCTCTTGACCTCATGATCCACCCGCCTCAGCCTCCCAAAGTGCTGGGATTACAGGCGTGAGCCACCGTGCCCGGCCCGATTGCCCTCATTTTTGCAGATGAGGGATCAGATCCAGAAAAACTATTTGGCAAAAGAGGAAACTGAGGCTCAGAACTGCCTGTGGCTTCCCAGCTAGTACATAATCCAGACTCATGATCTCAACTCCCCAGCCTAAACTCTTCTGTGATATGGTGTCTGGGCTTGGTGGAAAGGGGGTAAGACTTCCTTACAGTGAGGCTGGACCTCCGTGTGGCTGGGTACCAGCTAGATGCTCTGGTATCAGACATGCCAGGATAGCTGCATCGCTGTAGTCACACTGCCTCCAGAAATGTCTGCCCTTCCAGGCCAGTCATCAGTACCACCTTCTCCAAAGCAGTACTCGATTTCCCCAACCAGGAGTGTCCACCTCTGCTTTGAACTCCCACCACACTAGCTCAGGCTTTGCTAGGAGAATGATCACTTTCTGTCTTGTATTGAAGTGGCTTACCTGGGTTGGAATCTTTGCTCTTTCTCTCCCCACCCCGTGCCTAGCTCAGTGTTTTAAGTCTGAGAGTGGGTTCTCAGCAACATCATCAGGTATAAAATGAAAGAACTCTGGCCAGCCAAAGACAAAGCCTCGGGCTTCCAGAACCCCAGACTCTCCACTAGAAATGCAGGAGGTGCTTACCTGAAACAGCTGGAGAGGCAACAGGAGTCAGACGCTTGGTTCAGGCTCTGAGAGCTGCAGGGCTTGCGGGGCAAGAAGAGTGAGTGTAGGCTGACAATGGAGTCAGGGAAGGCTTCCTGGAGGAGGTAGGGCCTGAACTGCTCAGAATTCAGGTTGTATGGGAGGCTGCAGCCATTCTAGGAGGGTTCTGAGCCCCCTTAGTTCCTCTCTTTGCCTGGCAAACTCCTGCACATCAGTACTCTGCTGAGTATCACCTCCTCTGGGAAGCCTTCCTCGGTTCTTTCTGATCATGCTCCTACAGGCCTGTAGCTCCCTTCGAAATGTCCAAAACACTGCTGCAGGTAGTGCGGGGGGGTGTGCCCCACTGTTGTTGGTGAAGAGGGATCTTTGTGTAGAGGATCAAGCTGGCTGGGCCTGGGTTCTGCTGCATTGAGACTGGTCGATGGTGGAGAGCCAGCTAACTGGGAGGAGCTGCGTGGTCCAGGTGCGTGAGGCTGAGTGTGCGCCACAGTCAGGGGCAGAGGCTGCGGAGACGAAACAGACTACCGAGGCATGCAGGAGGTGGATATTACTCGGGCTTGAGTATCAAGACAGATGTGGGAGGTGAGAGAAGACCCAAAGCTGACCCCGAAACTCAGGGCCTCACCAGCACATTCCTGCCAGCTCATTCTGAGTTTGCTGCTTCCTCAGACACCTGCACAAAGGTGCAGCTTCCTAAGCAGTTGCAACAAGAACAGGTGTGCCCCGGCTCTGTCTCTTTCTGAGCTTTGTTCAACCCCATCTGGGATTCATAGAAGCCTTGTCGCCCACAGGCGGCCCTGATGGAAAGCTCCCGCCTGAAAGAGCCGCTGACCATGCTGCAGCTGAAGAAAGACCTCCTGATGGGGGTCTTTGGCCAGGAGAGGGCCACGGCACTCCTGGAGCAGGCGGCGGGTTCCGTGAGGGACAGAGACCTGCTGCATAACAGCCTTCTGCAGAGGAAAAGCAAACTGCAGGTATGCGTCCCCGGCGTCTGCTCGGGACTTGGCCTGGCCGCGGGGCTGGAGTAACCAATGGGGAGGCAGGTGGCCCTGTGTTCTAAGCTCAGCTCTGCCACTTGCCACTGTGTGGCCCTGGGTGTATTCCTTTGTCCTTGACAGTCTCAGGCTCCTCATGTGTAAACTGGGTAGGATTCCTGCATAGTCCCTTTAATCGTTTTCCTAACCACGTGTCTGCCTCCCAGCCCTGTCCCCAAACCCCCTGCATTCAAATTGAATCCCACCCAGTCTTCTGCAAAGAGCAACAGGAGGGTCAAATAAGAAAATGCCAATAAAAGCCCTTGTAAAATTTCAACTACCCTGGAGCTGGAAGCTCGTATTATTAGTGGCACCTTTCTGAATGACCACATGGCATCAGTGACATGTGGACAGCTTGTTCTTTGAGGTAACAAATGTTTGCTGAGCATCTAATGATGATGACAATAATAACTACAATCCATGGGGCACTGGCTATGGGCCAGACAGTTGCTAAGAGCTCCAGATCCTGGATCTTATCTAATCCACGTAAGAGCACTGTGAGGGAGGTACTGCTACTTTGCTTGTCTTAGACATGAGGAAACTGAAGCAGGATGGTCAAGAAAATGGCTCATGGTCCACAGTGGGTACAGCCGGGACCCAGCCCATGATTTCAGCTCCTGGGCAGGCAGCACTGAGGCTATGTCCCACTGTTGGTGACGGGGGACCATTGAGTAGAGGATCAAGTTTCTTCCATCTGCAGGGCCTGGTACAGTTCTAGGCCCTGGGGGGACAAAGAAATGAAGCGCAGGTCTTCACCCTCCAACACTCACAGCTTGCTGGTGGACACAGAAACACAGGCAATTACTAGAAGACACCCAGGTGCTGTTTTACAGCAAGAGTTGGCACACTGTCCGGGAAGGGCCAGATCGTGAAGGTTTTATAGTCTGCAGGGCAGGCGGTCTCTGTTGCAGCTCCTCAGCACCAGACACAGCTGTAAATGAATGGGCATGGCTGGGTTCCTATAAAACTTTATGGCTGAGTATGGTGGCTCATGCCTGTAATCCCAGCACTTTGGGAGACTGAGGCAGGTGGATCACAAGGTCAGGAGTTCAAGACCAGCCTGACCAACAGGTCAAAACCCCATCTCTACTAAAAATACAAAAATTAGCCCAGCGTGGTGGTATGTGCCTATAATCCCAGCTACTCAGGAAGCTGAGGCAGGAGAATCGCTTGAACCTGGGAGGTGGAGGTTGCAGTGAGCTGAGATCTTGCCACTGCACTCCAGCCTAAGTGACAGAGTGAGACTCCGTCTCAAAAAGAACAGAAAAAACCAAACTTCATTTACAAAAACAGGACTCTGATGGGATATTTGATCAGTGGGTGAGGGATGTCGATGGCCCTAGTTCTAGAGGGATGTGGCCAAAGTATTCTGCGAGGACACTATGGTGACTCTAAGGAGAGGCACCCAACTCCATCAGGGTTCAGGAAAGGCTTCCTGGAGGGGGTGGCACCTGAGTGAGTAGGACCTGGCCGAGATGATAAGCGGCCTGGCTGCATGGGTCAGGTCTCACAACACGGTGCCTGTGAGGAACCCTCTTAATGTGCATGCTGCCTGTCCTATGTCTCTGCAGAGCCTGCTCACTCAGCACAAAGACTTTGGGGCAGCTTTCGAGCCTCTGCAGAAGAAGCTCTTGGACCTCCAAGTCAGGGTCCAAGCTGAGAAGGGGCTTCAACGGGACCTTCCTGGAAAACAGGCCCAGCTCTCAAGGTTGCAGGTGAGGGGTCTGTCAGTCACTCCTGCCCGGGCTCTCAGCTGTACCTGGAAGCAGCTTCTTCCTCCAGCAGTAACCAGCAAAGCAACAGCTGCCATGAGCCAGAAATGTAGACCCTTGGTTGAGATTTGACCTTTCATCTCAACAGAACCTCTGCTTATTTATCTGATGGCTCCTGGCCTCAAACGGCTGAGTCTTGAGCTCAGCAAAATGACGAGCTGTCTTTTCGTTTACTCCTCAGTTCCAAAGTCTAACACTGGTATTTGTTTTTAGAATTGCTTCGCTAAGTATTCTTAATGAGTCCAGAGTTGTTCAGTTAAACCAACTTTGGGATTAAGAATAAATGTTCTGACCATCGATCATGGTTGGCTGGATAAGGAGCTTGCTGGTTTTCAAAATGCATGTGATACAATAGTTATCTTTTTAAAATCCAAGTACAGCTCACACATAAATTGAGAGTGTTCTCTAGAAGACATTAAAAATAGTGAATTTTAGGCCAGGCGTGGTGGCTCACGCCTATAATCCCAATAATTTGGGAGGCTGAGGGGGGTGGATCACGAGGTCAGGAGTTCAAGACCAGCCTGGCCAACATAGTGAAACCCCATCTCTACTAAAAAAAAAAAAAAAATATATATATATATATATATATATATATATATATGTATACACGTATATATATATGTGTATATATATATATATATATATGTATACACGTATATATATGTGTATATATATATATGTATACACGTATATATATGTGTGTATATATATATATGTATACACGTATATATATACGTGTATATATATATACACACACACACACACATATATAGCCAGGGTGTGGTGGCATGCATCTGTAATCCCAGCTACTTGGGAGACTGAGGCAGGAGAATTGCTTGAACCCAGGAGGCAGAGGTTGCAGTGGGCCAAAATTGTGCCATTGCACTCCAGCCTGGGCAACTGTTCCAGACTCTGTCTCAAAAAGAAAAAAAAAAAAAAATAGTGCATTTTAGGCTGGGAGGGGTGGCTCAACCCTGTAATCCCAGCACTTTAGGAGATGGGCAGATTACCTGAGTTAGGAGTTTGAGACCAGCCTGGGCAACATGGTGAAACCCTGTCTCTTCTGAAAAAAAAAAAAAAAAAAAAAAAAAAAAAAAGAAAATGCAAAAAATTAGCCAGGCATGGTGGTGGGAGTCTGTAATCCCAGCTACTCGGGAGGCTGAGCCACAAGAATCGCTTGAACCCAGGAGGTAGAGGTTGCAGTGAGCCTAAATTGTGGCACTGCAATCCAAGTGTGGGTGAGAGTGAGATTCTGTGTCCAAAAAAAGGGGGAAAAAACAGTGCATTTTGGGTTTTAAAACTAAAATTGGGACGTGCTTCTTCACAATGAGAGGTGGTCATCAAGGATGAGTCCCAATGTGAGTTTGCCCCTGGAGATGCCATCTGGACTATAGCAGAGTTTATTTTCATGGTGTCCCCGAATATTTTTGTCTGATTTTTAAAATCTCTCCAGCCCTGAGAGATTTTACCAACCATGTCGTTAGTACGGCCGCTGGGGTGAAAGAGCCCCATTGCCCTGGGGAAGGCACCCCTCCCAGGCTCTCCCATTCAGAGGCCCTGCCCTGAACAGCCACCCCGAGGGAGGGAGAGGCAGGGAGATATGCTTACCTCTTCCCTTCTCTACGGCAGGGGCTTCAGGAAGAGGGGCTGGACCTGGGGGCACAGATGGAGGCTGTGAGCCCTCTTGTCCAGGAGAATCCCAACCACCAGCACAAAATGGACCAGCTCTCCTCCGACTTCCAGGCTCTGCAGAGGTCTCTGGAGGTAAGGGGCTGGCAGAAGGGACTGTGGTTAGACAGAGAACAGGCCCCTGTAATCCTACACACCTGGGGCCTTTCTCCCCCTTTCCCGCCTTCATTTCTTCTAACCTCTCTTTTTTCTTTCTCCCTTTTTTTCTTGATTTCCTCATTCATACAGCAGGTAAGGCCTGAGCACCTCCTGTATGCCAGGCAGTGTTCTAGGTAGACCCTAAGGATGGAGGTAGCAGAGCATTACAGCCCAGGCCCCTGCTCTCCTGGGAGTAACGCCCCAGTTGGGTAGATGGACAATTAATCAGCAGACAAACAAGTAAATGCACAATTACATATTGAGATTAGGGCCACGAGGCAAAAGAAGAGAGTGGTGGGAACCTCAGGCACCGCTCAGCCTGCACCAGGCCTGGAGGCCACAGAGCCTCATCGGCAGTGCCCTCTAGTGGCCACCGCAGCTCTTTCTAGGGCTTGCCGGGGATTGTATTGAGTCCTTCCAGCAGTGGGGATGGAACTGCAAGCTCCTTCAAAACTGGCCTGAGAACAAATGGAAATGCAGACTCAGGCCCCACCGTGACACTGATTCAGATGGAGCCCTGGGTCTGCCTTTGTCACAAGCCCTGAGGAATACAAAGCAGGGTCTCTGGCACTCACATCTCAAGAAAAGCCAGTGTGAGGCAGTGAGAGTTCTCCACCCTACCTGACTTTGCACGCCCTATTTTCATACCAAATATGCCTATCCTCCTCTTTACACTCCTGAAATTCAGAGGGAGTATAAGTTACCTGCCCAAGAAATAGAAAAGAGAAGTAAAAGGAAAGTAATTACAATACGATGTTGTCCTTCAGTATGTAAGTACTTCCAGGTGGCCCCACTCAAGACACAGGAGCTGGTCAGCACGTGCCCTCCCTGTGTGACAGCCGCAAATGCCGTGTCAAGTGGCGCAGCCATCAGAGCCTCTAGTGATGTGGTTTTCTGACACGTGAACAGCGCTTGATAGAACTTTGAACTCAACAGCAGTCTTCCATCTGCTTACACAAAGGGTGCAGCTCTAGAGAAGTCAGCGTGTTTGTCAAAACTGCAAAAGCCTCTTTGTGTTTGTGTATTGATTGGAGTGAGAGTCTGAGCTCAGGTCATGACAAACGGATTTCTTCCTGCTGTGGATATTAGGAGGACATGAGAAAATCATGTGGGATGTGAGCCCTATCCGCCTAGGGTGGAATGCGAGCACCCATCCCTCTCACTCTGTCTAGTATCACCCCCACCACCTCTACTGAAGCAATGGAAAACTCTCCCCACCCATATGTGGCACCACCTGTGGCGACCCATTGGTCTAAGTGAGGATCAATGTCTGGATGAATTCTTTTAATTACGTTTAATAAACTAGCAGTTCGTAGTTTCAAGGTCGAGGCCGTAGAGAAATAGGAAACACTGTCCTCACTTCTCAGTAGCCCAAAGAAAGTCATAGAAGCAGCAGAAGTCAGCTCTAACACCTCCATCCGAATGATGGGCTGGTTAATTGTTATAAGAAGCAGCATTAACCAAGCTTCACTAGGTGTTACAAAATGATATTCCAATTCTTATTGTCTTACATTCTTCTTTAAAGAGAAATTGCCCTTTTATTAATTTGGTACTCAGTGCCTGTGAATCTAATATGTCCTTCCCCACAGCGAGGTATTCTCCGTGTCTCCCTGGGGGGCACGTTTCCATGTTGGAGGTCACAGCTCTATGCATGGGAAGCCATTGGAGGCATTTGGTCTAATGTTGGCATACAGGGACCGGGAGGGGACAGTGGCAGGGACAACGCAGAGAGGTGGAGTTTTAGATAACTTCTCAGGCCCTCATTGATGGCTTATTGAGGACAGATGCAGCAGGCTCTCCAGCCCCTGGTATGGGCCTGGTATCTAGGGTCTCAGTGGAATGCAGAAGGCAGGGCCTACAGTGGTCCTGCAGAGAGCCATGATGACCTAATCTGGGGAACACAGCTGGAATGGGCAAGGCAGACCCTAGGGTCGGACTGGTTCATGGCAGGCTATGGAAAGAAAGCTCCAAGGGTCTCAGGCTGGCTGGCCAGGGGCCTAGAGAATGGCTGCCCTTCTGGGTGGTGTCCACCTTCCCTGGAGACAGAGCTGAGCAACAGATTGGCCCAGGAAGCAGTACCCAGGGAGAGAGAAAAAGAAAGACTGAACGTGAACACCTGAGTGTGCAGCTCGATTAGTTTTTTTAAAAATTAAATGCATCTGTGTCACCAGCACCCAGATAAAGTACAGAGTATCACCAGCCTCACAGAGCCCCTGTGCCCCTGCAGTCATGCCCAGCTCACCGTTCCTGACCCTCAAGGGCAGCTCTGACTTCAGGCTTGCGCAACAGAGCTGGGGTTGCCTGATGTTATCCTTCATGTAAATGGAACTGGACAGATTGTTTTCTTTTGTGCCTGGCCCTTAGCTCTCCACATGATGGTTATAAATTCATCTACTATGTTGCATGTGGATGTAGGCTGTTCATTCCTGCCGCTGTAAAGCATTCCATGTGTGAATATACCACCGGGTATTTATTCATCTACTCTCAGTGGGCACTTGGATAGGTTCCAGCTTGTGGCTGTCACATGTGTGCCCTTGGGTGAGGATGTGTTCCCATTTCCAGGGAATACACCGGGAGTGGAATGGTGGGCCGTCAGCTGCAGCCACGTTCCATGTGGGTAGACTCTGACCCATGGTCTCCACAAGTGGTTGGGCCAATCTACACTTGGGTCAGTGGCGGACAAGAGATCGATTTCCTACCGTCACCTAGACTTGGTCGTTTTCCTAAAAAGACAGGCTTTAAACCGGAGTTGATCATCCCGGGGTCAATTCCTTGTGCTGCGCGGAGGGAGGGGCCAGCCCAGCCTCTTGTGGTGCTACTTGGTGGGAAGCCCTGGGGTCCGGCAGGGTGGAGGTGGTGCCGGGGGTCTCCCCCTCGGCCACCACTCAGGATGCCCTGGGCTCCCCGGGCTGTGCTGCAGGACCTTGTGGACAGGTGCCAGCAGAGTGTGCAGGAGCACTGCACCTTCAGCCACCAGCTGCTGGAGCTACGGCAGTGGATTGCTGTGACCACACAAAAGCTGGAGGCACACCAAGGAGACGTGGGCCCAGGCACTGCCGAGTCCCAAGAGGCGGAGTTTGAGGTAAGGTGGTGGTTCCCTCCCCAACTTCCCAACAAAGCCGCCTTGATGGGCCAACGTACCCACACTCAGGAGCAGAAACCTCCCTCCACCTTCACTGTGTGTCCATGTGTCCTTCAGAGGCTGGCGGCAGAATTCCCGGAGAAGGAGGCCCACCTGTCCCTGGTGGAAGCGCAGGGCTGGCTGGTGATGGAGAAGTCTTCCCCAGAGGGTGCTGGCGTGGTGCGGGCAGAGCTCAGGGAGCTGGCAGCGTCATGGCGGGCCTTGAGGCTGCTGGAAGAAAGTCTGTTGAGGTGAGAGTGCCTCCTGGGCTCTGAGCCTTGTCTGGGACACCACCCCTTCCCACTCAGGGGCACTCAGGTGCTCGTAGAGCAGATGGCCAGGGCGCTGCCCAGCGTGGAGACAGAGGCCTTAGGCACCTTCACACCGTGGCCCAGTTGGCTGTTCTAGAAGGAGCGGGAGGAGTCAGGAAATGTCCCCATCTTGGTAGTTATCCTCCATCAACACTGGCTTGAGCCTCAGTTTCCCCATCTGCATCCATGGGCATATGCACCTTCATGACAGGTTACTGTGAGTTTAAAGTCAGAAACTGGATGTGAGCATGCCTTGGGAACATTCTGACAAACTTCTGTGGGAGGCACTGACTCGTCAACCGTGGTTCCACAATTCCATTGCTTTTCCCATGTCCTGGTGGGTCCCCATCACATCTCCACATTGATTGGGCTGAGTTTGTCTTCTCAACCTCATCAGAAACTGGCATCTGCAGAGGATTGAAGTGGATTCGGGGAAGAAAATGGTTTTCACCAACAACATCCCAAAGTCAGGGTTTCTCATCAACCCCGTGAATCCGATTCCCAGGCGTCATCGACAGGTGAGTCTGTCTAGCAGGCCTTTAGGGGAAGAGGCCAGGCCCCAGGTCAAGAGATCGGTAGGGGTCTCCAGCACAGGCCCCTACCTGTCTGGGGCAACATGCTCAGCTCTGAGGACTTGGCTACATCCTGTCTTATTTGAGCTTGCCCCAGCTGTGGCCCAAAGAGCAATTGATCCTACTCCACAGAGGACCTCAGTGATCCCAGAATCTGCAAAGCCAGGCTGCCAGGGCAGGTCACGGATGTCCTTTAGCCAAACAGATACGTCTGTGAGCCACGAGCAGCAGCTCCTTCAAGGAAGAGAGTGTTAGGGCTGAACACTTCCTGCTGGCCCCAGATCGGACACTGAAACCACACAAGATGGGGATATTTTTGTGCCATGTTTCATCCATCCCTCACTGCCTTTCAACAAACTTGAGCTTTGTTGCAAAGAAAGTTATCCCTTGTTGTTCAAGTACATCATATCATTCGTTTTCCCATTCATTCTTTCATTCACTCATCCATTTGCTGAGTGCTACTGTATTCCAACGACTGTGCTCAGAGCCGTGAGTAACACTGCCGACCCTCAGAGAACTCCGAGTCCAGTGCAGAGTTTTTCAGCTGGCAACCAGCCTTGTATTAAAATGCAGGTTCTGGGCTAAGTGCAGTGAGCTATACCTACAATCCCAGAACTTTGGGAGGCCAAGACAGGAGGATTGCTTGAGGTCAGGAGTTTGAGACCAGTCTGGGCAACATAGCAAGACCCTATCTCTATAAAAAATTTTTAAAAGATTAGTTGGACATAGTGGTGTGCACATGTAGTAGTCCCAGCTACTCAGGGGCCTGAGGTGGGAGGATCACTTGAGCCCAGGAGTTTGAGTGTGTAGGGAGCTGTGATTGTGGCACTGCACTCTAGCCTGGGTGACAAAAACAAGACCCCATTTCAATCAATCAATCAATCAAAAATAAAATGCAGACTCTGAGTCAGTAGATCTTACTGGGGCCCACAGTTCGATTTCTGCATTTCTAACAAGCTCTCGGGCTATGCCCGTGGTGCTGGGCCTGGGAGACACTCACCTCTGTGAGCCACTAGCAGTCTCACCTGCAAGGAAGAGAGCATCAGGGCTGAACACTTCCTGCTGCTCCCAGAGTGGAAACTAAAATCATACCAGATAAGTGTATATTTGTGCCATGGTTGTATTTTATTAAAAAAAAAAAAAAAGAAAGAAAAAGAAAAGAAGTAACTACATTGTCCTCCCCTGCCATGACTTCCCCTTACTGCCTTTTAACAAACAGCTTTGTTGAAAAGAAGCAAGGGAGTGGCATCCACGGGCAGTTAAATAAGGGTTTACAAAAAAAGTGGCAGACCTTGGCAGACAGGCCGAGGCTACAGGAGCCTGCAGCAGGTCCCAGGTCTGGGACAGGGAAGCCCTCCTGGAAGATCTGAGATGTCAGCTGAATTTTCAAGGCTGAGTGGCAGTGAGGAGAGGAGGGAGGGAGGCGTGTTCCCAGCAGAGGAGACAGTGTGTGTGAAGAGCGGAGGCAGAAAGAGTGCCAGTTTGAGGGGCCAAGACACATCTGCAGGCCCGGGCTCAGAGGACGGGGAAGGCAGCACTCCCAGTGGAACCAAGACTCCCAGGTCACGGTGGGGAGGAGTGAGAGGCACCAGCGCATATAAGCAAGAACTTAGCTGAATGGGCTTACGTAGTAGACAGATCGCTGGGACTATGGAGCCCCGAGGTGGCAAGCACGGGAGAGGGTGACTACTTGTATAGCTATCCTGGTAAGGGACGGTGGTGGTTTCCATCCCCTCTCAGGGGAACAGAGAGGACATAATGAGGAATGTTCTTGGTCCCTAAATGTGGCCGTGTTGAGTAGAGATCCTTTGTTCATCCCCCAGGCCTCTCCTGTCACCTTTTAGGCATCTTGTCCCCGTCCCTGCCCCTCTGCCTCAGGTGGAATTCCCAGGACACACAACCAGGGGCCTGTTTTACCTCTGACGCTTTGGCCGTGTGTGATCCTATAGGTAGATCTTCTCCAGGAAGAAGGGAGCCATGAAGATTTCTCCCAGCTCCTGACGAACTTTGAGCAGTGGTTGCAGGTGGAAAATTCGAAGCTTGTTAGAATCATTGCAATGAGAATTTCTACAGCTGAAGACTTGAGGACCAGAGAAGCCAAGCTGCAGGTCTGTTCCCCAGGAGAGGCCCCTCATCCATAGGGCTTGCACCCACAGATGCTTTGCCACCAGGGGGATCTTCAAAAGAAGGAGCACGCCCACAGTGTGTGAGCTGTTCTCCTTTGTGTATAGATAATGGCTTTTACACCTTTTTGGTTCAAAGATTTTAGAACTTTTTCTGGCATTCATGCACATATTCAGCATGCTTATGTATTCCCCGACTAGGAAAATATCACCACGCATCACTTGACTCCTGTGTCACTTAGCTATTGCTGTGTGACAAACCATCCCAACAGTTTGTAGCTGAAAACAACAACCACTTATTTAATCCGTGGTTCAGAAGCGTGGCAAGTTAGGCTGAACTCAGCCGGGCAGTGCTTCCAGTCTGTCTGCTGTCAGTGGTCAGTCATTCAGGTGTCTCTAATTCTGGGGGCTAGCAGGCTATTAGAGATGAGAATGCCATGGACTCCACATCTCTCACACTCCTGTGGCACAGCCTGGACTTCTCATAGCAGAGGCAGGGCAGAAGAGAGTAGTACCAGCAGGCAAGGACTTTTGAGGTCAAGACTGGGAGCCAGCATAACATTAATTGCCCTGCATTCTGTTTGCCAAAACCAGCCTAGATCCAAGGAAAAGACAAAGAGACTCCCACCATTTGATGGAAGGGACTGCAAAGTCATATTGCAGTGGGTGTGGATGTGGCTGGGGGGTGGGAGATGGGGGAAGTCACAGCCATTTCTGCAAATGAATTACCACTTCTCTTCTGTCTTCTTCACTCCCACATCTAATTGGTTGCCAAAACTGCTCGATTCCACCTCCTAGACATTCTGTGTTTCTCTTCCCTTGCACTATTACTGTCTTAATTCAGGCACTTACCATTTTTGGCCCTGACTATGGCTATAGCCTCCCAGCTTATCCTCCCTTCTTCCTGTTGGGTCCCCATCTAGGTCATGGCTCATTCTGCTGCCAGAATGAGAAATATGACCTTGTCCTGCCCCTAAGGAAAACCTTTTACTATAGAGTTTAACCCCTGAGTTTATTACTCAAGGCCTTTCTCAACCAGGCCCTAGCTTACCTCTGTTTCCCTATTTTTCTGAAATTTTACCATGATATGTTTAGGTTTAAATTTATTTTTATTTATCTGGCTTGGGATTTATTTTAATTCCTGAATTTGGTCTAGGATCTTTCTGAAAAACTCTTTAACATTATTTTTGTTTTTTTTTTTTCTCTTAACTCCCAAACTTGTTATTTGAATTTGTTTTTACTAATAATATTTCTTAAAATATTATCTCTGCCTTGTTCCCTTTCTCCTCACCTACTGTGATCTCATTTAAACATGTTACTACTTCTCACTGTGTGATTTAGGTCTCTTACCCTCTTTTGTGTATTTTTCATCCTTTTCTCTCTTCATGTTGCATTCTGGATAGTTTTTCTGATCCATCTTCCAGTTTACTAATTTTCTCTTTAGCTGTGTCTCATCTTCTGTTACACATATCTATTGAGTTCTTAACTTTTGTTGTTGCAGTTATCAGTTCTAGAACTTCTATTTGGTCCTTTTAATAATTGACTGTATCACTTTCCTTATCTTTATTCTTTTTCTTGTTTTATAGTTCCTATCTTAACTGAAACTCTGTCATTTTTCATATCTTCCAGAAGCTTGCTAAAATTTTTAAGCCCATCTTTTAATTCTTTAAACTAGTAAACATAGCTTTTTACAGATTGTGTCTAATAATTCCAAGATCTCAAGGCATTTTAGTAATGTTTCTGTTGTATATTATTTCTGCCTGTTCTTATTCTTGGTTTCCTGTGTCTTTGTGTGGCTGCTTTGTGTGCTAGACATTGTATCTGCCAAAATATGAATAACAGTTATTTAAGATTTAGGATAATCTTCTCTTCCAGAGATGATTTTGTTTTCTTCTGCAGGCAAGTGGGGGCCTTCCATTTTGGGGCCACTAAATCCAAGTTCAAGGCTTGAGTCTCCCTGGTCTACTAAGATGACTTTGAACTGGGCTGCAAGTCCACACAAGGTTCAGGTTTACTTCTGGCCCATTTTTATAGGGTGAAGGCATTAGGAGCTTGGTGAAAGGGCAAATGAATCCTATCAGAATCTCCGCCGCTGTAGGGCTAGACTTTGATCTGTGTCTCCCTGGCCCAGTGAGGCTGCCAAAAGCAAAGTGTTTTACAGCTATTCCTTCCAAATTGGCAAATATTCTATGGGCAAAAACAGGTCTGAACACAGCGCTGACTTCCCTGGGTTTTCATGCTTTCCCAAGCATGTGTGCCTCACACTCTTTTGTTAATCCTTTCATGCCTTTAAAATGCTTTAAATATTTTGTCCTCAGTGAGAGGTTTGGTCCCAATGATCCAGTTGGCCATTACCCGGAAGCCCTCCTTGCTTGCCTCTCCCATCTCCTTTCATTCCTTCTACCTGACCCCACCCAACTCCAGCATGTCAGAAATGACTTTCTGTTCCTCAAGTTAAACCCCCTTGCTTTTGTACAGCATACGTTCCAGCGGGCTCTGAGAAGCTAAGCAAGGTGTCCGATGTTACGTGCTAGTAGGATGGGGCAGAGTCAGGATCCAAAGCCAGGACTTAAACCTGGGCTCCTGGATTTCTAGCCCCGCTCCTACTGCCCCATCACACCACCTCTTAGGAGTCCTGAGAATAAAAGTTTCTGTCTCAAGGGAACACAGGACTTATATTTCATGAGAAAATCTGCACATTCCAACACCACTCTGCCAGGCTCAAAATGCCAACTGAAAGACATGTTCACAATGACAGCTTTTAGGATGATGCTACCTCTAGTCAAGCCCTCTGGAGGACTTGGTCCTGGATGTCAGAGTTGGAAGTAACCACTGGGGGTCTTCAGCCCAGCCACCTGTTCCATGCAGGAGGCCAACCTGTAACATTCCCGAGAGCAAGTGCTGGGCCTTGGCTTGAATTGCACAGATGGGAGTCCCACTTTATAGGTTCTGTCTGCCTCCCCCCTGCCCACCTGTCTGTCGAGTGAAATTAGGTGGACCCATCCTTACCACCCAGGTGAGGCTGTCTGGGCCATTTGGAAGCCATACCATGACACTGCTATTTCCCCCCAGGAGCTGGAGGCTCGGGTGCCAGAAGGTCAGCATCTCTTTGAGAACCTCCTTCGTCTTGGGCCAGCAAGGGGGACCTCGGATGAGCTGGAAGACCTGCGCTACCAGTGGATGCTGTACAAGTCCAAGCTCAAGGACTCCAGCCACCTGCTGGTAGGTGCCGAGGATGTGCAGGTCCTGGGATCTAGGACAGGACTATAACTGGGTCTAGATTCCCCTGGGGGTATGTGTTCAGCCTGTGTTCACCCTGCCCTGTGCATTCACACACCACACAGGGGACAGGAACACTCGCGGGTCCTGGGAACTTGACTCACATGACGCTATTTGGCCATCCAACACCTTGTGAGGCTGGAGTCCTAGTGAGGTGGTTAATGTGTAAGGAGTGCTTCCTACCGCCCAAGCCGAGGGCTGTGCGTGCACTCTCCCATGCAGGCTGTACGGCTCCCCTCTGCTAAAGTCATTGTATCTCCAGCCTCCAGAGGGGGAGCAGAGACTCCAAGCAGCGAAAACATTTGCCCAAGACCACATGGGTGGTCAGTGGCAGAGCCAGCCTGCAAACACACCCTTGTGTTGTAGGTGTGACCTGGGGAAGCACTGGCGTGGCATCAGGAGCCCTCGGGTCCAACCCCGTGTCTCTAATTTGCCCTGTTTCTCCGTTGAGCAAGCACCTCCTTTTGGGGGGACCCTGTGTCTCCTCACACAAAATAATAATAATAATAATAATAATAGCAAAACTAGTAATGATCATAACCTTTGCTCAATGCCCTGTCCTCATAGCAGGCCTTTAAATAAGGAGGTGCTGTAATATGCTCTGTGAACCAACGAGGAAACTGAGGCACAGAGGTTACATTTCCCTAAATCTGAGGAAGGTGGTGAGATGGCCCCCAAAGGCCCTTTCAGCCTCAGACCCCAGTCCCAAGCTGGGAGCCCCAGGCTTTCCTGGCCCCAGAGCAGCCAGGATGGCCACTAGGTGTCAGCCCAGCCCAAGCCGGGTCGACCATGGCCCCAGCCGGCCTTGGCCAAGGCCTTCCCAGACAGAATCCCAGCTGGGCCTGAAGTGTGTTAAAAAGCTCATTAAATCGAATCACCTGCTGGCTCAGGCTGTCCAGATGACCAGAAGTTTTAAAGAAACACTCCCCTGACAAAATGAATATTCCATTACAGGCTCTATTGGGATTTAAGTTTCACTCACTTAACTTACTTTTTTTCCCCCTTTTTCCTCTCCTTCCTTGAAATAACAGACACAAAGTTCTCCAGGGGAGCCAACTGGATTCCAAAAGGTACAGTGTCTGCCATGTGCTCCACACAGCTAGCGGGCAGAGTGCCTGGAGGGTTGGTGGGCCCGTGACACTGGGGCAGGACCCATGGGCTTTCTGGAAGTTTCAAAGAAGACCAAGGAACATTTATGGGGAATCAGCTCTGGGCTGCACTGTGCTGGGCCCCAGGATTCTTGCTCTCAAGAAACCCCAGGGTCGGGGGTAAGCTGACAGGGTGTGACAAGCACATAACAGAGAGGGGGTCTTGGAGATCGCCTCCCAAATCAGGTCATGCTGGGGAGTGGGCAAAGATGCTACCAATGATTACTCTGTGACAACAGGTATGAACCAGGACTGTCCCAGGAAACCTAGGTTGTTGCGGGCAAACTGGACAGTGTGGCCACCTGTCGATGGAGGGTATGCGGGGCTCAGTAGGGACAGGAGAGGGAGGCGTTTTGCCTTTGAGTTCCACTAGGCAGGAGTTTCCACTTACCCCACTGAGCCATGCTCAGAGCCGGTCCCAGGGTCTTTGCAGGCTAAAGCAATAACGATAAGAGCAGTCATGACAACAGTGAGTAATAGTTATGATTGTCACTTGAGATGCTGTGTATTGGCCATCCATGGGGTATGGCAGGAACTCTGCAAACGGTTGTGGTTAAGGCCTCCTGTAACTCTCCCAGTGACACCCAGGAGGCAGCATAATCTCAACTTTCAGCACAAGGAAACAGAAGGGGCAAGCCTGAAGAATGCTCTGTTCTCCTACTAGGCATTGGCCCATAATGACACGGGCATCTGGCATGCTCTGGTCCAAGGAGCTCCAATGTCCTCGAGATCTCTCATTCTTTGGAATCCGCGATTTCTTCTTGGCCTCCAGCTGGTGGCATAAGTAACATCTACAGGAGAGTGAGTGACCCATGGACTGGGCAGGACAGTCACAAGACTAAGGCCAGGCTCTGGGCCTAACACCAACTGGTTTGTGGCCTTGAGGGAGTTGTTTGGCGTCTTGGGGCTCACTATCCCCATCTATAAAATAGAACTTGATTTTTTGTTTGTTTGTTTCTGTTTTGAGATGGAGTCTTGCTCTATCACAAGGCTGGAGTGCAGTGGTGCAATCTCAGCCCACTGCAGTGTCCACCTCCCTGGCTCAAGCTATTCTCCTGTCTCAGCCTCCCAAGTAGCTGCAATTATAGGCATATGCCATGACACCCAGCTAACTGTTTTGCATTTTTAGTAGAGACAGGGTTTGCCATCTTGGCCAGATTGGTCTCGAACTCCTGACCTCAGGTGATCCACCCTCCTTGGCCTCCCAAAGTGCTGGGATTATAAGGAAGAGCTACTGCACCTGGCCTAAAATGGAGCTATTAATGGCAACCTCACTTACTTGATGAACTTACTCTGAAGATGGTGTGAACTGTTGTATATGAAAGTAGAAGTGCTTGTGATCACTTAAGCCCTGCCCACAACCCCCAGTTTAGAATAACAAATAGACTTCTCTTGAAATAGGGAAAATCATCAGGAAAGGACAGGTGGTCCACACAGGCTGGGTACTGGTGGGAGATGCGGAACCCGGGACCTGGCGTCTAGACCAACTCTAACTCCTGCACTTCAAACCTCTCTGGTTGGACGCCACCACCTTCGCAGCCCCCAGGCCAGGATCCATGTGAGCATCAAGTTTGGGTCCACTGGTGTCTAGCCATGGTGCCTAGCACATAGTAAATGCTCACTAAATGTTTTTGAGGCTCTGTTTTAGGCACTGGGATACGTCAGTGAACAGAAGAGCCCCCACCTGTCCTGAAGACTGTCCATGCTGCTTGGGTGGAGAGGGGCATGGGGCCAGAGCACGCATGTCCAGCTGATGTTGCTTAGTAGCTAGCACAGTGGAAATCTCTGGTCAGAGAGCTCTGAAGGTCAGACCACTTGGGATCTGTGTAGCCCTGAGGTGCATCTTGTCTATGGCCAGAAGATGTTGGGTGCAGCTTGGTGGGGTATGTAAAGCAGGAAAGCCCTAAATGACTGATGAATCTGCTTACTTGGGCTGTGTTTAAAACAACTGGGTGTGTACAAATCTGACTTTGGTGCTTACTGGCTTTTGAGCTAACAGACCTCCTTCCACATGAAGAAGTAAACAACGTGGGGCCAACACACAGAGACCATTGGTGGCTCCTTCATAAGACAGCTTGTCAAAACGTAGATTGCTGGGCCCCGTCTCTGGAGTTTTCAAGTCATTAGGTTTAGAGCAGCCCATGAATCTGCATTTCCGACACGATCCCAAGTGATACTGCTGCTGACCCGGGGACCGCCCTCTGAGAACCACCACTTTACACTTCAGGCTCAAACGCAGGCTCCACCATTCATTCGTGTGTGTGACCTGAACGTCATTTAGCCACAGTCAGCCAAACTCAACTGAGGGTCCACTGAGCTCCTGGTAGCAAAGTTCCTGTTGTAACGATGGCACGTAGTAGGTTCTCAAGTGCTGTGTGAATGAGGAACTGCTGGACTTCTGCAGACACCATCCTGCTTTTCTTTCTGAGAGCTAAGGAAGCAACACCTCCGAGGGGCAAATCCTCCCTTCGCTTTGGTGTGTGCGTGGTTTTTCGCGGGTGGGGCTGTGGTGTGTGCCTGTGTGGGTATGCGCACACATGCACGTATGCACATCCCCGGGCCTGGCGGGTAGAAAGTAGGTGCTGTCTTCAGAGGCTGTCATCTTGCCAACTGAGAAACATCGCACATATTATTTTTGGTCCAAAGGGAAGGGGAAAAGAAAACCTACCCCAAGGCTAATTATTTACGAGCAGTTGCTTGTCCACACTTTTTCCCTCCCTCCATGCTCCGAGTCATTGAAAGCCCCAGCTACGTCAGTGGCTTCAGCCTGTTTGTTTGTATAAACAGAATAATTAAGATTTATTAAATTCGCAGCTGCCTACGCACTTGCCAACTCACTGCCGCGGGAGTGTTTGCCTGCAGCATGTAGACACGTGAAATGTAATTGTTTTTTGAGTTGTAGTTGGGCTGTGAGTCTAAACTGCATTCCTTGCATCGGTCCAGGGAATAGCCCTACCTGAGACAGACTTTTAGTTGGAGATGGATTGGCCAAAGCATCTACGAGCCTGGATGACATAGGGCAGTGGTAGTCTGCAGGAGCAGAGAGCAGCCAGCTCCCATCCATTTCATATGTGGGCTCTTGGAATATAGACCCAGGTGTCGTGTGACCTGAGGGTAGCATTATACTTCTTTGACTACGGTTCATAGGTTTTAAGACTCATAATTTTGTGCATTTTCACATCTCTGGAATTCAGGTGTCTTATTACAATGTCGTTCTTCTAGTGAAGATTTAGGTTTACTGCCCGTCACCCCTGACCTGAGATTCTTTTAAATGAAAATGTCTGCTTGTGGGTTGTGTTCTGTTTGGTTTTCCTTTGGACCACGCTGATTGTGTAAACTGAGACTGCCAACCTTGGGGAGCCCCAGCCTGTGGTTCACACTCCTGGGGCACAGTTTTGCTTTCTCACCCTTCCCGGAGTGCCGAGAGGACCTGGAGTTTCCTTGCCTCCTCTTTCTGTGAGCTGGGTTTATTTCTCATTTCTCCTTACGTTGACGGCACAGCTCCCTCGGTGCCCCATGTTGATATGGGCTTTCCAATCAGATGCGCCACCTCCGTTGCTGTTCTTTTCTCTCTTAGCCATTTGTAAAATAATGATGCACTTTATAATCAGCATCTGAGATTGGATCAGTTGCTGTCATAGCAAATCTCCGTGAGTATCCATGTTAGATCATAACTGTCTCTCAAAATTATGATTTTGTTGTTGCAAAAATCCCTCTTGTGTGCCAGGCACAGTGCTGGGCCCTTGTGTGCTTGGGTCTTTAACACAACTGCCTTCTCATTTTTTAGTGGGAGGAGATGGTTTCTGGGTCCCTTGGCTTCTCTATCACACATGCTATGGGGCCAGATGGGAGTCGGGAGAGGCAACATAGCTTGAGTTGTTACCCCTGTGACTTAGTGTGGAACTCTAGGGGCAGGTCAGATCTGCTTCTTCCCTGGTCACAACCAAAGGCCTGGGCTTTGCTAGGGCCATGCAGTCTCTGACCTCTAAAAGGGGGAGCCAGGGACAGGCTTCAAACCATGCTCTGTGTCATCCCAGGTCCTTGCCACTCCATCTATCTACAGAGCCCAGAAGCAGCCAGTCTTTGACGATTTGTGAACAAGTTGGTGCTAAAACTTTGGTCATGAAGTATTTGAAACTAGTCTTTGGCCAGGTGCCGTGGCTCACGCCTATAATCCCAGCACTTTGGGAGGCCAAGGCGGGTGGATCACGAGGTCAAGAGATCGAGACCATCATGGTCAACAAGGTGAAACCCTGTCTCTACTAAAAATACAAAAAAATTATCTGGGCATGGTGGCATGCGCCTGTAATCCCAGCTACTCGGGAGGCTGAGGCAGGAAAATTGCTTGAACCCAGAAGGTGGAGGTTGCAGTGAGCCGAGATCGTGCCATTGCACTCCAGTCTGGGTAACAACAGCGACACTCTGTCTCAAAAAAAAAAGAAACTAGTCTTTGACTACCGAGATCCAGAGAAGCATTCTCTACACTTGTCACTCACCTTCCACACCCCTACTTCTTTGAAATTCACCCCAGTGAGGTACCCAGGAGCCTCCTCTTCACTAAGACCAGTGAACTGCTGTCCTCATCACACTTGGTCCTAGGGCACTGGGACTGATGACCACGGCCTCCTCTTCCAGCTGCCTCTATCCTGATACCTCTCTGTTTTATCATTCACCAGTCATCTAAATTAGTGTTGATAACACTCGGTGTTGACGAAATATTATTATTTAATCCACAGTTCATATTTTAAAATTTTAAGCTGGCTCAATGGTCTCTCTTGAATTTATAGACTTTTTTGAGCAGCTTTATAGAAAAAATGAAGCAGAATGTACAAAGTATTCCCTTAGACCTCCTCTCATCCCATCCCCCTCCATCTTCCCCATTAATTAACATCTTGTATTAGTGCGGTCCTTTTTTTTTTTTTTTTTTTTTTTGAGACGGAGTTTCGCTCTTGTTACCCAGGCTGGAGTGCAATGGCGCAATCTCGGCTCACCGCAACCTCCGCCTCCTCGGTTCAGGCAATTCTCCTGCCTCAGCCTCTGAGTAGCTGGGATTACAGGCACGTGCCATCATGCCCAGCTAATTTTTTTGTATTTTTAGTAGAGACGGGGTTTCACCATGTTGACCAGGATGGTCTCGATCTCTTCACCTCATGATCCACCCGCCTCGGCCTCCCTAGTGCAGTCCTTTTTTGATGAACCAGTATTGATACATCATTATTAACTCAGTCACAGCTTGTCTGGGCGCTCACTCTTGGTGTTATACAATCTATGGGTGTGGACAAATGTCTAACGATCAGTATCCGCCACTAAAGTACCATGCAGAAGAGTTTCACTGCCCTGAAAATCCCCTGTGCTCCACCTGTTCATCCCTGCCCATCTCTCCCCAGGCTCTGGCAACCACACACCTTCTGCTGATCTCCATGGTTTGCCTTTCCTAGGAGGTCCTATGGCTGGACTCACATACTATGCAGCCTTTCAGGCTGACTTACTTTACCCGTCAACATGCATTTAAGATTCCTCAGTGTCTTTGTGGCTTGATAGCTCACTTCTTTTTTATTTTGAGGTGGAGTCTCACTCTGTCACCTGGACTGGAGTGCAGTGGTGCCATCTTGGCTCACTACAAGTTCCACCTCCTGGGTTCAAGCGATTCTCCTGCTTCAGCCTCCTGAGTAGCTGAGATTACAGGCACACGCCACCACACCTGGCTAATTTTTGTATTTTTAGTAAAGATGAGTTTTCACTGTGTTAGCCAGGATGGTCTTGATCTCCTGACCTCAAGCAATCCACCTGCCTCAGTCTCCCAAAGTGTTTGGATTACAGGCATGGGCTACCATGCCCGGCCTCTTTTTTTTTTTTTTTTTTTTTTTGAGACATAGCCTCGTTCTGTCACCCAGGTTGGAGTGCAATGGTGCAATCTCTGCTCACTGCAATCTCCACCTCCTGGGTTCAAGTGATTCTCCTGCCTCAGCCTCCTGAGTAGCTGGGATTACAGGTGCCTACCACCACACCAGGCTAATTTTTTTTTTTGTATTTTTAGAACATGGAGTTTCACCATGTTGGCTAGACTGGTCTCAAACTCCTGACCTCAAGCAACCCACCTGCCTCGGCCTCCCAAAGTGCTGGGATTACAGAAGTGAGCCACTACACCCTGCCAATAACTCATTTCTTTTGATCCGTGAATTATATCACATTGTCTGGACATACAATATATAGTCTTTCTAGTAGATTTTTCCCTCAGTCCAGGATCCAATCCAAGATCACACATTGTATCCATTGTCATGGCTCTGTTTTCTGGGCCTCCATTTTTCTTAATTCTTCTTGATCTTGACCTTTTTGAATACCAGTCAGTTTGTGGAATATCCCTCTGTTTGGGTTTCCCTGCTGTCTCCTTGTGATTGGATTTGTGGTGGGTTCCTGGCAGGAATGTCACAGAGTGGTGCTGTGGTTCACTTGTGACTCCTATCAGGAGACACATGGCGTCATGTCGCACAGGGGCTCTGCTCACTCTGGTCATCAGTTGAGTAGCCACCCTTAGGGAGGCTTCTCCCCGTGAAGTAGCTACCCTTTATTTTGTCGTGGATAAGTGACCTGTAGGCGCTGGGTAGAGGCAGCAGAAATACAAGGCCTGTTTCTTCATGGTGGCATCCTCAGCCCATTTCACCAGTGGTAGAAGATTAGGTCTCATGGACTGTGATGAACTCTGGGCTGCGATCCTCAGAAATCCGGAGTCTCAGGTTCATCCTGTAAGACGTTGGAGGACTCTTGTCAGAGCCTCTGTTGAGTATTTAACTCCTCTACACATCTCCTCCCTCCCCACCCCCATGGACTCACTGACTCCTCTTTCTGTACCCTCAGGGATGGTGTAGTGGTCCATTTTCATGCTGCTGATAAAGACATTCCCCAGACTGGATGCTTTATAAAGAAGAAGAGGTTTAAGGAACTCACAGTTCCACATGCCTGGGGAGGCCTCACAATTATGTCAGAAGAAGAAAGGCATATCTTACATGGCAGCAGACAAGAAAGAATGGGAGCCAAGGGAAAGGGAAAACCCCTCATAAAATCTTCAGTTCTTGTGAGACATATTCACTACCACGAGAACGGTATGGGGGAAACCGCCCCCATGATTCAATCATCTCCCACTGGGTCCCTCCCACAATGCATGGGGATTATGGGAACCATAATTCAAGATGAGATTTGGGTGGGGTCATAGCCAAACTGTATCAGATGGGGAGCTTATAACTTCCTGAGGAAGCCCCTTCTCTCTTTGGAAGAGCCGAGATTGTCAGTTTTCTTGTTGGCTTCTTAGAAGGGTGTGTGTGTGTGTGTGTGTGTGTGTGTGTGTGTGTGTCTGCATGTCTGTGTTTTCTAAGCATTTAAGAAGCATACTGAAAGGTGTCTTATTTTTAAGAGCCTTCTAAGTGAGGATGTGAGCTCTTAAGTACGCAGGCACTGGGCAGGCAGCAGGAGTCTTTTGAAGAGGACCACCTCTTGTCAACACTTGCACATGCAAACACTTTTTCCCAGAGATCATGGCTAAGGCACAACCCCTGGCTTGAATAAGCGAAGTGTTAACTCTGAGAATGGAAGGTCTAACAAAAAGGACACTTGCAGGCAGACCCTCTGTTTGGGAAATCGTTAATTACAGGTTGATAATTGCAGTGGAGACCCAGGCTAGGTGGGCCTACAGGTCACTGTCTTGTCCCTTTTCCCTCTCCCTGGGTGGGTCACAGGGGTCAGAGATTTGGCTCTACCTAGCCCAGCAGCTATGGGAAGAGCCACCTCCTCTGTGAACACACACTCATTCAGCTGTTTAAACAATGTGTCACCCCCCCACCCTCCACTCTTCAAGTCACTGCTGAGGTACATGCAGTCAGTACTTATTCATTGTCATAAGCAGACTGTTTTACAAAATCAGCATCTAAGGGCTCTGGTGAGTGAACACATTTGAGGCTAGAGGCACATGGTTAAGTGTTATCATCTGGAAAAGATACTTGGAGCAGGGAAATACGTGAGTTGACTCAGAGAGGAGAGGTAGAGAGACAGAACTGCCCAGGTCAGAACCTCCCAGGAACACCTTCATTTAGCAGTGATTCTGCATCACTGTTATTACCCTCACCATCACTACCACCATTACCACCACCACCCTCTCCACCTCACCATCACCACTACCATCACCACCACCCTCACCATCACCACCATCTCCACATCACCATCACCACCACCGTCACCATCACCACCCTCTCCACCTCACCATCACCACTACCATCACCACCACCCTCACCATCACCACCATCTCCACATCACCATCACCACCACCGTCACCATCACCACCATCTCCACCTCACCATCACCACCATCTCCACCTCACCATCACCACCACCATCACCACCACCACCATCTCCACCTCACCATCACCACCACCGTCACCATCTCCACCTCACCATCACCACCCTCACCGTCTCCACCATCTCCACCTCACCATCACCACCACCCTCACCATCACCACCACCGTCACCGGTCTCCACCATCTCCACCTCACCATCACCACCATCTCCACCTCACCATCACCACCATCTCCACCTCACCATCACCACCACCGTCACCATCACCACCATCTCCACCCACCATCACCACCACCGTCACCGTCTCCACCATCTCCACCTCACCATCACCACCACCCTCACCGTCTACACCATCTCCACCTCACCATCACCATCACCCTCACCGTCTCCACCATCTCCACCTCACCATCACCACCACCGTCACCATCACCACCATCTCCACCTCACCATCACCACCACCCTCACCGTCTACACCATCTCCACCTCACCATCACCATCACCCTCACCGTCTCCACCATCTCCACCTCACCATCACCACTACCATCACCACCACCACCACCACCCTCACCATAACCACCATCTCCCATTTCACAGATGAGAACACAGAGACATGTGCTGTCATATGGTCAGTTCATTGCTGCCACCGCTCCAGGCATCTTCCTCACCCCCTGAACCTACCCCCACCATCAGAGCCCCCAAGCCCACTCACCTGTGCTGTGTTGGTTCTGCAGAGTCGGCGGTGGCAAGGACTGGGCTCCCTCTTCCGGAGGGTGTGCTGTGTGGCGCTCCCGCTGCAGCTGCTTCTGCTGCTGTTCCTCCTCCTGCTGTTCCTGCTCCCCGTCAGGGAAGAGGACCGCAGCTGCACCCTGGCCAACAACTTCGCCCGCTCCTTCACGCTCATGCTGCGCTACAATGGCCCACCACCCACCTAACCCACTGGGGCGCACAGGTGACTTTCTTCTCCAACCTCCATCTGTCCCAGGGCTGAGGATGCCCACCTGGGAAACTGGAAACAGGGGCAGGCCAAAGACTGCAGAGCTATATTCGTATAAATGCTGCGTCAGCGTTCCCAGAACAGACTTACTTTTTATACAGTGTCGTCTTAGTCTATTTATACTAAATGTGTACTACATGTGGCTAGGGAATAATGTATAGAATTTTTATATGATCTGTATGTAAATGCTCAGTAAGTATAACTTCATATATGAGGTCTATTTGTAGTTGAGAAAATTCCCAGCAATGTCTCCCTCCAATGGGATTTTGTGGTATTGTTGACTTGGTCTGCAGGCAACTCTAGAAAGCAAGAACAATAACATGTCACTTTCATGGCAAACCCTTCTCCAAACCCAATGCCAGAACTTAGATATAATGAAAAGCCTCTGAGCTGCCATGCAGAAGAGCAGCACAGACCCTCATTTGGAGCCCAGTGACTTGTTTTATGCATAATGAGAGCGAGTATGCTTGTCTAGTTTTAACAACCACAAAGAGTAGCTGCCACGTGTCAGAAGTAGAAATGACAATGACCAGAGGCAGGTACAGTGATAGCAGTGACAAGTGACAGAGTGATATCAAGGAGAAAAAGAAGAGCCGCAGAGAGCAGACCCCCGAACTAAGAAAGCACAGCTGAGGGGAGGCATCGCATGCGGGAGCCCTAACCCCGGCTCTCAGCAGCCTCTGATCACCGAGCCCCCGTGAATGGAGAGATCCTGCTCTGTGTGTTTCATTCAGGGAGAAAGGGATGAACACAGGTTTAATTTTAAGACTTCATGCAGAATGGTGAGATGCACTCCATAAGCAGCTCCCTCTGGCAGTGCCCAGGAAAGACACGTTTCCTCTGTCACTCTTGGACTGAGTTTTCATCGTCGAAAGCTCAAGCTGCAGGACAGAAGGGAAGCATCTTCTATGCCAGGGGCCGGGGATCCAGGGGCCAGGACAGAGGTGAGAGAATCTGCTTTGGAGTTTGGCCTGCCTGATGGGCTCCACTTCCCCTTCCCAGAAGGGACTCTGGAGACAGCAGGTCCACAGGGCCAAGAAAGTCTCACGCACATCCCCACATGGGACTGGAGCCCAGGCCACCCAAAGCCAGGCCCTCTCCAGCCAGGTGTAGGTGAGCCAGGCTCCATGCACCACCTGGGCTGGGGCCGCGGTGACTCCGTGTGTGTTCCCAAGGCCAGAAACTCACCCCTTCCTTGCCAGGGAACTCTGGATAGTTCCTAACTGCTTTATAACTGGACCATGTTCTTCCTAAATCAACACTACATTTTCCCTTTAAAAAAGGGAAAATATTTACACATGGATTTTGTCTATTCAACTGCAAATAGGAGCTTCAGAGGGCATTTCCTTGGGCCTTATATCTGGCTATGGAATCATAAGGTATTATAGACCCAGAAAGGCCCTTTAAGTGGAGGGGTAACTGAGGCCCTAAGAGGGCCTGATGCCCAACACTACTGCTCTCTTGCACACACTGACCCCTTGTATTCCTCCGTGAGCTCTGCCCTTGTGGACCCTGGCACTGGGCAACGAGGACATTCACGGGGCAGGAAACCCGTGCTGCCAAGGAGAGCCCTTGGGGCTGACTCAGAAAGCATGCTTTTTTTTTTTTTAACTCATCTGTATTTGTTACAACCTTAAGCAGAATATGACATTACATTTCCATCCACAGGCCTGGATCTGAGTTATCACTATTGTTATTATTATTTATTATTTTGAGACGGAGTTTCACTTTTTCCCAGGCTGGAGTGCAGTGGTGCGATCTCGGCTCACTGCCACCTCTGCCTCCCAGATTCAAGTGATTCTCCTGCCTCAGCCTCCTGAGTAGCTGGGATTACAGGCACCTGCCACCACACCCAGCTAACTTCTGTGTTTTTAATAGAGATGGGGTTTTACCATGTTGGCCAGGTTGGTCTCGAACTCCTGACCTCAAGTATTCCACCCGCCTTGGTCTCCCAAAGTGCTGGGATTACAGGTATGAGCCACCATGCCCAGCCAATTTTTTTTTTTTTTTGAACAGCTTTATGATAAGCTGTAGGCTTATAATTTTGCCCTCTAAACAATTCTTTGGAAAACAAGCCCCATGGACTCTCCATCCTTCCATCAAGTTCCTTCCATCAGATTGCTTCAGTTTAACCTGTTTCTAGAGGGCTAGTACATGCAGAATTGGCAACTACAGGGGGTAGAAAGGTCAAAAAGTAGATCCTACAACCCTGTGGCTTGGTTTCCAAATATCTCTGGCAAACTGGGAAGAAGAGAAAGCACACTTTTCTCTAGGTATTTGGTAACCAAGCCATAGGGCCGTTCTCTGCTGGCGACCCCCTTACCAGAAAACCAGGGACTGAGTGAGCCAGGGCCTCAGGCCCAGGCAGCCAAGCCCAGATGTCCGGAACCAGAAGTCAGAGCCATGGAGTGGGGGCTTGGCAGCTTCCCACTCTCCTAGTTCACAGGTGAGAAAGCTGAGTCTAAGAGAGGGGAAGACACACTTATCATGGCCACACAGTGAGAGGCAGCAGGGCCAGAAGGCAGCAGGGGCACTGGCCACCATGGCCCTCAGGCAGTGCCCTGCTCATTGTGGTGTGAGCCCCCTGTGTCGGCAACTTCAGAAAGAAAACAGCCACTGGGCATGTGTGCAGCTTGTCACATACACCACACGTTGGGGGAGAAGAAGCTGGAACGTGCGGGCGGGGTGGGAATATCTACCTATGTTTTTAAATTTTTGATAATGATGCCATCAAGTCTGCTTGTTTGCATAATTGTTTTTTTAAAAAGAGAATTGATATTTTCAGTACTTTCATATAAATATACTTGTAATATGACATAACAGCCGGTCACTGGTGCTTTCAAGTACAAGCACACTCTCCTTTGCTTAAAGGAAGCCCAGGCAATTATTCTTACGGCGTTAGTTTCTGGCCTCTTTAACAATAGCCACGCAGAGCTTTAAGGAGCTGCCTGAGAAAGGTGTCGCCGTGGTACCTGTGTGTGTGTGTGTGTGTGTGTGTGTGTGTGTACATGTGTGTGTGTACATGTGTGCGTGTGTGTGCTTGCTCCTCTGTCTCCAAAATGAGAGCTGTCTTAGAGTTTATAAAAATTGGTACTCTTGTGGTCCAATGCAGGGGTGTGTGTGTGTGAGAGAGAGAGAGAGAGAAAGGGAGAGAAGGGAGGGGAGGAGGGAGAGAACCTCCAGTGGGCTGGCTGATGAATCAGTTATCTCTGCCTATCTCTCCCTTCTGCCCCTTTCTTCTTCGTCTGTTCTCTGCATGTGGAAAGCCACACACAGGACCCAGAGGGGGGTTAAAAAGAAAAGCTGGAACAGGATGGGACGGGCAGGTACCGACAGCAGATGAAGCCAGGAAACCCCGGGAGGTCCCCGTGGTGGTGGGACAGAAGGAATGCTGACAAGGGAGACACAGAACACACTCTGTCTGGTGCTCGTGGGTGCATGACCCCCTTGGGCATCACTTTACAGCCTTGCTTTATGTAATTCCCACACTGACACCTGCCCCCAGGGTTTGATATTGTTTTACCCCCATGGTTGAGATGGAACACGGAGGCTTAAAGATATAAAGACCTGGCTGGGCGCGGTGGCTCAAGCCTGTAATCCCAGCACTTTGGGAGGCCGAGACGGGTGGATCACGAGGTCGAGAGATCGAGACCATCCTGGTCAACATGGTAAAACCCCATCTCTACTAAAAATACAAAAAATTAGCTGGGCATGGTGGCGCGTGCCTGTAATCCCAGCTACTCAGGAGGCTGAGGCAGGAGAATTGCCTGAACCCAGGAGGCAGAGGTTGCGGTGAGCCGAGATCACGCCATTGCACTCCAGCCTGGGTAACAAGAGCGAAACTCCGTCTTAAAAAAAAAGATATAAAGACCTTGCTCATGCTGAAGTGGGTCCAAACCTAGGACATGAGGCAATGAGTACCCCAAAGCCCAGGCTGGAGGAGGGCTTCAGGCTGGTTCTACCAGGTCACAGTCTCTGTAGCCTCTGGAATGAAGTTCATGGGCAAGCAGGCAGAACTCTCTGCCCATCAGCTCGGCTGGGACATGGCCAGAGCGGAGCATCCATACGTCACCCTGAGGGCCTGGCCCTCAGCTCTGAGAAGAGTCACCACCGCTCATTCCCTTGGGCCATGTACCATCATCTTCACATTACCCACCTGGAAGGTGAGCCCCTCTAATGTCTCACGTTGAGGTCCTCGGTCATGAGTGACAGAACTCTACACCCCCAGTGCCCAGCATGGGATCAGCAGTTCAGCTGTGGCTTGCTGAATTGCATTAAAAACCCAAAGGCAAATGTGTTTCCTGACACCAACTCCCTTCCACAGGAAATGGGTCGTGGATGACCTGACCCAATTTCATCTCTCAAGCCCCATTTGCCTTGGGCACTGGCTGGAGTTCCCTGAAGGGACCAGGGGTTCAAAGATGCTTATCTCCAGGCGGCTTCAGGGGAAGGAACTGGGGACCCTCTGCAGCCTGGGGGCCCAAGAGAATGACAGACAGAGGGCAGAAAAAGGCCTTAAGGTGGACAATTTGTGCTAACTGGGCGTTACTGCTGGCAAACGGACTGGTGGCATCAGCCTGCCCTGTCTTGCAGGGGATGGGGTGGCTGGGGTTGCCCCCAGTTCAGGAGTAAAGAGGGGATCTTATTTCTTCCATTAGACTGGAGCCAGGCCTGACCGGGAGGCTGGGAGGCTTTGCAGAAGCTGCAGGGACCTGCACTTTATGCTGATCTGGCTGAAGAGGGCAGACGGGGAAGTGGACCAGAGGGAGTCAAAGGCAAGAAGTGATGTCAGGCTGGATGCACTGAACTGTGTGCTTAAAAGTGGTTAAGATGCTGAATTTTATGTTATGTGTATTTCACCACAATTTGAGGGTGAGAGGAGAGACAGAGAGAGAGCAAGATCAAGAGAGAGAGAGAGGAGAGAAAAAGGGGGAAGGAGGGACGGACAGTGAGAGAGAAAAGGATAGGAATGGCAGGTTGGACCTTTATGGTTCCCAACTTGCCTCCGAGGACAAGCACTGGTGGCAAAGCTTTCACTGACCAAACCCAAGGTGAAGCAACATGAGGAGATGCCTGGCGTTTTTCTTCCCATACGATTTTTCACCCGAATGCTGGCTCTTCATTCTGGGATTATGTCCTTCCTACTTCAGGGGTGCTCAATGGTCTTAGGAGATGAGGGAGGGGTAGAGGTGGCTCTGTCTTCTTTGATGGGTTCTATTGTGGTTTTGGAGCCTTCATTGGACAGAATAAAAGGTGTGCTGAAGGAACTGAGAGGCAGACACCCAGACAGAATAGCAAAGTGGGTCTATCCAGGGGGCCATCAGCCTACCCAGCTGAGCACCTCAGGGGCTGACAGCATTCCAGGCTAAAAGCCTCAAGCAGACTCTGACCCACTCATTTATTCTCTCTTAACAGGTGATCATTATTAATAAACAGGTGTTCTGTATCTATCAAGTAGGCAGCTGTTACCCACTTACCACTAATTGCAAACCAAAATGTATTCTTCACAAGGGAGCCACAGGGGCAGGGCAAACGTCATGTTTCTCAGGAGTAGAGACAGTTGCTGGCATCATCTCAGCTTACAGGTGTCAGAGCCAAGGCTTTTAACTCTTTTCTTTATATCACAGTTACCTCATGGCCCAGAATGTTTGCTGTACCTCCAATTTTTCATCTGGGTTCCAGGAGGAGGAAGAGGAGTGAGTTAGATGAATCAGCCCTCCTTGTTAGGAGCTTTCCCAGAAGCTCCACCAGCCACTTCTGTTCTCATCTTGTTGGCCAGGACTGTGTCACAGGCCTTCCCCACATCTGCAAGGAGTCTGGGAATGTGCACCCCAATAAGATGGGGGCTCTTCTAGTAAGAATGAAGGGCAAGGTAGATTGGAGTGGCACTTAGCTGTCTCTGCTACAGTTGGAGGGAAAACCCAGAGTTCATCCTAATCCTCCTTGGCCATATGCTCCTTGTGTGGAACTTGAAGGCATCATCCTTGCAGTGTGAAACTGACCTGCCACCACTGCCTGCCACCTGCCTCTCAGGGGTCCCCGAGTCCTTCAGTCTACCCAAAGGTATTGCAGACATTCTTTCTTCAAGACTTGGGGACCAACAAATAGATCAAGTGCCCTGCTGGCCAGAGTTTGTGTGCAGGAGCAGCCCCTCCCATCTTCGTCCTGGCCGTAAGCACCAGGGCTAAGCTTTTGAACCCTCTCCTTGTTTGGATTCAGCCCAGGCAATGCCTATTTGCTTTGATTTCTTGAGCATGTGGAGCTCCTGGGTGCAAATCTTGGAAAATGAGGATCTCTGAGGCTTTCCAGGCCAGCCCTTTGTTTTCTAGCAGACAATTGAGGCTTTGAAAGGGAAAGTGGGTGGGAGCACCCCACAGGTGGCCCTCATCACCCAATTGCCAGTGCCTGCAGGCTCCTTCAGCAGAGGCCCAGAGTCAAAGGACTTAAAACCAGCTGTCGTTTCTCCCTTAGTTTCTGTGTATGAGAGAAATGCCTTCTGTTTTTCAAAGTAAGAACACGGAGGAATTTGTTTCTAAAAGAACATTAAAACACAGGCTCTTGGTCTAAAAGCAAATTGTACAGCAGGATGTTCAGGGCCTTGAAGCACAGACAGCAGGACTCAGTATCTCCCAGCACCTGCTCTCCGTTGTCATGGTAACACCATCCCCAACCCAACCACCTTGTCCAGCCGGGAGACAGCCATCACAAGGAGGGACCTCTGTTTCCCCCAAGGATCCTGTGCTTCCTTTCTGAAACGCTTGCTTCTGAGCTCAGCAACCAGGGACACCAGGCCAGCCCGTCCCCAGCACCTCTGTGGGGATGAGGGCCAGAGCCCTGCAGCCCCTCTTCCCTTTCTGATGAGAAAGCGGGGGAAGGAAACATACACCAAGGGCCTGCAATGTGGTCAAGACACTTTCAAAAAGGCTGTGCTGTGGAGTCATGGTCAGAAACCTGGTGCAGAAACCAGAGTGTGGAGAGGGTCCACAGCCTGCCTCAGAGCAGCCAGCTAGGTGGTGAGTGGTAAATTTGGGACTTGAACCCAGGCATGACTGGCTCCAGGCCTGATGCTCCACTCTAAGGAATGTTCCCTGGGCCTCAGTAGCCTCCTCTCCTCTCCTCTCCCCTCAACTCTCCTCCCCTTCTCTTCTCCCTCCCCTCCCCCTCCCCCTCATCTCCCCCTCCTCTCCTCTCCTCCCCTCCTATCCCCCATCCCCTCTCCCCTCCCCCTCCCCCTTATCTCCCCTCCCCACTTCCCTCCGCTCCCCTCCTATCCTCCCTCCTCCCCTCCTATACCACATTCCTCCCCCCCTCCCCCTCCCCCTCATCTCCCCTCCCCGCTCCCCTCCCCTCTTCTCTGCAAGCTGCCGGCTGCAGCCACTCTGGCAACTGGTGAGCTGGCTGGAGGCGACATTCCAAGGCAGGGGCAGCAGGGTTTCCTCCTGTGCCCACTCCCGCTGGGAAGTCCTTTGACTCCCACCATTGATGGGAGCTGGCAACACCAGGATGAGGCCCCAGGAGATGGGAGCAGGTCCCCACTGCCTGTCTACCTTCGCCCTGGAAAAGCACAGACAGGCCAGCGCTTGCAGGGGCAGACAGAGGACAGAGTTGGCTTTGCGCGGTCACTGCCTGCTGAGCAGCTCCAGTTCCTCTCATGGGAGAAACAAGCAGGCAGTCGCTTGTGCATGTTCCAGAAGTTTTGTTGGGGAGGAGGAAGTGGACAGAGGAAGTTGTGTGTGTGTGTGAAGGGGTGGGTGGGTGGGGGGAGGCATGTGTATGTGAGCGTAGCATGTGTGAGTACGACACACACATCTCCATGCAGA